TCCTCAGTTTCAAGTTATAGGTCCATTTCACTAACCAGCTGCCATTGTAAACTTTTTGAAAAAATGATAAACCGCCGACTTTTACATTTCCTTGAAACACACAATCTGCTCGACCAGTTCCAGTGTTGGTTTCGAGAGGGTAGATCCACCACCGACCATCTGGTGCGTATCAAGGCACAGATCCGAGACGCTTTTGTCCGCAACCAATACTTCCTCTCAGTGTTTCTCGATATCGAGAAGGCTTACGACACAACATGGCGTTTTGGGATATTAAGAGACTTGTCTCACCTGGGTGTGCGCGGTAGAATGCTTTCCATAATCGAGAGTTACTTGTCCAATCGGAAATTCCACGTCCGTGTGGGCAGTACTCTCTCCCAAACATTTGTGCAAGAAACGGGAGTACCGCAAGGTGGTGTACTTAGTTGTACACTTTTTATTATTAAAATGAAATCCTTGCACCTGTCCATTCCCCGCAACATGTTCTATTCCACATATGTCGATGACGTCCAGCTTGGCTTTAAGTCATGCAACCTAGCAATGTGTGAGCGGCAGGTTCATTTAGGTTTAAACAAGCTCTCCAAATGGGCAGAGGAAAACGGATTCTGGCTGAACCCAGAAAAAAGCACGTGTGTCATGTTCTCCCGAAAGAGAGGCGTGCACTCAGAACCTGACATTGAACTGAATGGTCAACGTCTGTCTGTCAATGCGGAGCATAAATTCTTAGGCTTAATCTTGGGCAAGAAGTTGACATTCGTACCACACATCAAGTATTTAAAAACAAGATGTTTAAAAGCCATGAGTGTTATAAAAGTGTTGTCACGTACTACGTGGGGTAGTGACAGGCAATGCCTCATGAACCTGTATAGAAGCCTCATTCGCACCCGCTTACATTATGGGGCCGTTGTCTATCAGTCTGCTACTCAAAGTGCCTTGAAGATGCTGGACCCCGTGCACCATTTGGCCATCTGCCTTTCTACGGGTGCTTTTCGCACCAGCCCCGTAGAAAGCCTTTATGTTGAGTCAAATGAGTGGTCGCTTCATCTGCAGAGAACTTACATGTCCTTCGTTTATTTCCTTAAGGTAAAAGCAGACAAGAAGCACCCCTCATACTCTACTATTAATGATTTGTCGAGCTCAATTCTGTTTCAAAACAGGCCTTCGATGAGGCAGCCCTTCTCAGTTCGCCTGAAAAGTCTAGTCGAGGAAACTGGAGTCTCACTAGAACACAGTTTAATGGCTCCTGTAGCATACCCGCCACCGTGGCAATGGCAGACTATAGATTGCGATGTGTCTTTTCTAGAAGTTACAAAACATGCGCCCATTGCCCATATCCGAACATATTTCCTGGAACTTCAACACAAATACACACGTCCTGAGTTCTTTACAGATGCCTCTAAGACCAACTCCTCTGTGTCCTACGCTGCTGTTGGCCCTTCCTTTTCAGATGCTGGCCCTCTACATCCAGGCACAAGTATCGTCACAGCGGAAGCTTACGCGATACTTGTGGCAGCTAAACACATCAAACAATTACAAATACAAAAAGCAGTAATTTATACAGACTCCCTCAGTGTGGTAACGGCTCTGCACAGTCTTAAAAAACAAGAAACCCTGTCCTTGTCTCACTTTACTCCATTTTTTGCACACTCTACACACTCAATCAACATGTTGTAGTGTGATGGGTGCCAGGGCACCGTGAGATCCAAGGCAACGTGAGGGCGGATCAGCTCGCTGCATCCGTCCACAAAAACACTGCCCCTACACCCATATAAATCTCGGTCCTTGATCTGAAGCCGTCTCTCAAACGAAACCTCAGGGACTACTGGCAGAGCAAGTGGGATAAACACACACAAAACAAACTACACGTTATCAAGCCACACCTTGGCCATTGGCCACCAGTATCAAAATCTCGTCTAACAGAGGTAACACTAACAAGACTCAGGATAGGACACACATACACGACACACACACATCTTTTGTCTGGTGGTGATCCACCACTGTGTGACAATTGTGGTGAGGCATTGACAGTTCTTCACGTTTTAATCCAATGTAAACAGTTAGACACCCTAAGAAGACAACACTTTCCATTACCCTACCGACAACATATACCGTTACACCCCGCAATGTTTGTCGGTAGGGAACCACTTTTCACCCATAAATCATTGTTAGCTTTTTTAAGAGATGTCAATTTTTACTATGTAATATACCCAGGCATTGCGTAGCGCGACCTCTCAAGAGAGGTTGCTGCTGCAGTGATTACATTTAAAAGCACTTGCTTCGCAGCCCTTGGACACAAGGGCGCTGATGAGGCACGTGTGCTAGTGCCAAATATTTTTACATGTTTTTATTATCAAAACCTGTGTCACCCCTTTTAATATGCATATCACGCCACTGTCATGATCTTAATACTTATGTTTTTACCCGCATCATCGCGAGGAATTTTAAGGCCCCTCTACAGCCACGCAACATATCATTGTCTCATCTCTACTCATCGAAATGGCGCTCTTTGGCCATCAACTGGCCCTTGCGCCACAAAGCACCACACATCATCATCATCATCGTGGCTCGGCTCCGAGGTTCTTGCCTGTCCTAAGTAAATATATTCCTTAAATTCCAGCGCCTCTCCACGTATCACAGTGCTGTTTTCTGCCGAGATTGTTGCACATTTAGATTTATGCATATTAATTTTCAGACCTACTTTTCTGCTTTCCGTGTCTAGCTCAGTAATCGTGAACTGTAATTCGTCCATCAAGTTACTTATCAAAGCAATGTCACCAGCGAATCGCACTCTTCCAAGTCTAGGGTCCTGAATAACTCCTGTAAACACGCGGTGAATAGCATTGGAGAGATCGTGTCTTCCTGCCTTACACCCTTCATTATTGGGATTCTTTCCTTTTCTTTATGGAAAACTATGGTGGCTGTAGATCCTCTGTAGATTTCTTCCAGCATGTGTATGTAGGGTTCAGCGATACCCCGACTCCATAGTGCCTGCGTTACTGCTGATGTCTCGACTGAGTCAAACGTCTTCCCGTAATCTATGAAAGCTATGTATAGGGGTTGATTGTATTCAGCGCGTTTCTCTATTACCTCATTGATAGTATGAATATGATCTTTTGTGAAGTAGCCGGCACGAAATCCTGCGTTATTCTTTGGCTGATTAAACTCTAATATCATCCTATTTTTATTAGATATTTTTTTCTAAATAGTTTGTAGAGAACGGAGAGCAAGCTGATCGGCCCGTAACTTGACGTGTCCTCTTTTATGGATTAAGATGATGTTGGCGTTCTTCCAAGATTCTGGTACTCTTCCCGTCAAGAGACACTTTGTACATAAGGTCACTAATTTTTGTTGAAGGTTCCGTTGGAGGTTCAGTCACCCGCCGAGAGCACTTATACAAGTGTTCAAAGTGCTCAAATTCAAGCTGAAAAATTCCCGCATGTCCACGAAGTGAATGATGATGAAGTAGCTTACTCCAGAGGTTAAATCCGGTAAGCCGTGAATTATCTGTACAAATGCTGAATCGTCATCATATAAAAACGTGGTACGATTGTTATGGTGTGGTTGCACATACACGTCATATGCACGTTTTTTTTTTAAGAGCCATTCCACATGCCCTGGTGTCCGCCCCACAAACATGATATCATCCCCTGTCTTGGACAACCCTTCCCCTACGCATCCGTCTTGGGGCCATTTGACGGTGGGCTGTACCAGTTATATGCACAGCGCGCGACCCGTCCTCTGTGTAGAATACACATTGGGCTGTCGGCAGACGCGCCATTGTCGGCACTCAAAAAGCTGCAACGCGCGACGCCTGGAGCGGCGTCGACCATGGCGTTCACACCAATTCCACCACCAGCATTTCGAGCGCGCGTCTCTTCCTTGCTCGCTGCTCATAGCAACGCGCATTCATCGTGGTCTTCGCCCACTGCGTGGAGCCATTATGGAGCCTCGCACGCTGCGCTCAGGTAGGGTGGCTGAAATTTAGACACCCTAGCTCAGGCGAGCGAGCGTCGCCTGAGCGGCGGCGCGCCATCTTGTGGGCGCTCTTGAAGCGAAGAGCACAGCTGTCCCTCTAGCGGGAGCAATGAACACTAGCGTACACACCGGCGCAATGACGAGAGACAACCCCCCAACAAAAGGAGCAAGCTCCTAAAAGAAAGAAGGAGCAAAGTTTTTTGGGAGCTGGAAAAATCAGGTCCATCTGTGTTGAAACAAGGACGACTACCACGGAAACATGTTTGCTGTGATATGTGTTCACCTCTATACGGCTTTCCTGGAAGTGTTTTTAAATCGTCAGCAAGAAAGCAATTGTCGAGGCGTGAGCTTCGCGTTGAATTTATTTATTTTTTTCATAATGAGCTGCAAAGCGCTATGGTTGAACGCCGTGTGAAAGCACACTGACACGAGATTCATCAACTGTGTAACGTTCTAGCACGTTCGGTGTCCCTAAAGAACATTCAACGAATCAAGAAATATCTCGTAGGCGATACGATAGCTCAGAAATAGTAAAACCACTGACAAATGCGGAACGATACGCCCACACCAAGTTGAACTTAACTAATTAAAATGTTCCAGTAGAAGTCTTTCTCGACTTTGCATACAATCTACGCGGCTGTACTATTGTTTCAATTCGTCCAGCGCTAACCTTTACAAAACGTGGAACAACTGGTGGTATGGTGCCTGCAGAAAGGTTGTCAAGCACACAAACACCTAACGCTAACGAATCCTTGTTCACTTTGAAGGAAGACATAAAAAATGCACTTTCACTAACAACTACGTAACGCGTTTCAATAACGCGGTAAATTTGCACGAAAACGTTTAAGGGGAGGAAATGCGAGAAAACAAAGTTTCTTGCACGGCCCTAACGTAAAAGTCACTGCCTCGAACCGGGCCAATCATTACGACACGCAATAATAGGTTACAACAAACGTTCAACAATATAGGCTGACTCGACCGTAAGAAACATAGGTAGTCACAGGCGAGTCGCATGCACAGTATACTAATCAGCTGTTCATCATTAATTGCGCAGTGGCTGCTACGGATGCGGCCGTGTCACTGTCTTGCAACTTGGCGATGAGGTCCTGGACGACGATCTGTTCCCGCTTCATGCGCTGAGCCACTGACTTAGGCATGGCTGGGATCATGCCGGCCACGACGCCAGTGATGAAGAAGACCACGTGCTGCGATGAGAACGATAAACGGACCGGGGCGTTGACGGGAGTAAAGCAAAAAAAAAAATGTCGGCAAAATGTTTCAGCATAGGCACACATTTGACGCACACTTAAGTGAAGATTGGTGGCACTGCAAATAGATGCGACTTCCAGCAACCGCTGCATACTCATTAATAGTAAAACTACAGTTAGACACTGTGGACTGGTTTGTGGAACGTTCTGTAGAATCATATACAAAATTGAAGAGTGGGGCCACTACATACCAGACCCATCGGCCGCTAGCTAGTCACAAACAAAGCTACATCGGAGTGATATGTGGGGTTTAACGTCCCAAAACCACCATGATTATGAGAAACGCCGTAGTGGAGGACTCCGGAAACTTTGACCACCTGGGGTCCTTTAACGTGCAGACAAACAAACCTACAACGGGGCACCCTATAAAGTTTTATAAAATATTCTGGCGCATTTATTCTACACAAACTTAGGTGTAGACTGGTGCCACTGCTGATATACCTCTTCGTGCGAGTACTAGCTGCGGATAAACAAACAAAACTGTAGTGAGAGTCTCGGGACAGTTTTATGAAATATTTTGCAGAACTTACTCCGCATAATATTAGGCGAATACTGACGTTATAGAGATGTCTCTCTTGACAAATACTAACTATGCATAAACAACCAAATTACATTCTGATCACCTGTAAAAATTGTTATGGAACATTTTGTAGCATTTATTTGTCAGCAGAGCAAAACAGTAATTAACAGTATTATAACGCAGAGTAATCGCAGGTTTATAGACATTCGCACACAGCATTTCAATATTTGTGACAATCGATAAATAAAAATCTGAAATGCAAATCCTATAAACAATCATTACACTACATATATAGACGTATTGAATACGACTTTCCGAGGATGAATAGCTCGTACTTCTTATACACTAAGTTATAAAGTTTACCTGTGCACATTATGTACAAATTCTTTAGAGAAATATCTAGAGTTTGTTCATCACTAACCTCGTAGAAAATGTTAGTAGACGTTCTAGATTCTCTTAACGTTCCGTTTAGCAGTTGAATTTAATATCGGAGTTTTAATGACTCCCAGTTCACATAGCCACTCTTTGTAACGAGTCTCACTTGAATCATTCCGCTCAACAATAGCTGTTACTGTTAATACAATACGACATATTGTTGTACAGTTCAAATGTTACGATGTTTCAAGTACACGTGTTAGAACATCATGACAACATTAGTGGCTTATAAAGTGAAATAAGTAGCATTGTGGATTAGCGTTGGCTTCTCACCTCGAATATGACGACGAAGCATAGTTGGGCAGTGGTGATGACCCAGAAAGTCTCGGACAACTGGTACTCATTCTCTGTACCAGGAGGCTCGCGGAATCCCACATACCTGCGGGATAGAAAGTTCTTTAATGACGCCCAGCGTGTCAAGCAGTCAGAGCACTTAGCTAAAACCTGCAATCGCAAAACTTCCAATTAGGACGAGACTTCTTTGAGAGCTTAAGCTTCGGCAAGGTCTCGCATACGTCTCGCAAGATTCCGCAAAAGTACCCTAATTTCATGCCAAAAACCCACCTGACCCTCTCTGAAAGACGTGACATCATGGCATCACCGTGACGTCGCAGATCAATATTTGTGGCGCCATATATGTGGTCGTCCCAGGAGATGCTCCGTGGCATTCTTTGAGTTGTATGAATTAGCCTTCGAGTAATCTGAAACCCGTGTGTTAAAGCTAAAGCCTTAGATGCCTTATCAAAGGCGAAATTCGACCGTCCGTGTACCGCGACGTCGGACACGAGTGACGCAAAAAAATAATCATTACGCGATGACGTCAACTCTATAACCGAACCAGCCATGCACCACTGTTGCGTGGTAGACGTGCGTTTTATATTGTCCGCCAGTGTGTCATATTATTCGGAGTTAGAAGCTCTATCGTAGTAAGAAAGTGGGCATAGGTTGAAGTACCGAGCCCTTCCCGTAAACTGCGACAAGCGGCAAGGTACCACGTGTTATAACAGAAGGAAGTACTCGAGGACCTCAAATGGTGAACTTCCTGAGCGAATCCAAGCGTAAGAGCAAGGACCGTCGAAATTTCAAATATTCCCACATTATTGTAAGCGTCGGCTGCTGATTACTTCTTGAGTATTGTCACGTTGTTGTGCTGGTTATGAAGGCAGCAATCAGATGGTGAACGATGAAGCTTTAAGTTGTGAACTTGTGCCCAGAAAACGAACACTCATTCTACAAGCGATAAGAAGTCGCAATACTACGATAACATTTAGCAAGGTCGGTAGTCGCCGATAATCTGTTCGTCGAACACCGCCGTGGTGGTCTAGTGGCTAAGGGACTCGGCTGCTGACCCGCAGGTCGCGAGATCGAATCCCGGCTGCGGCAGCTGCATTTTCGATGGAGGCGAAACTGCTGTAGGCCCGTGTGCTCAGATTTGGGTGCACGTTAAAGCGCCACAGGTGGTCGAAATTTCCGAAGCCCTCCACTACGGCGTCTCTCATAATCATATGGTGATTTTGGGACGTTAACCCCCCCCCCCCCCCCCCCCATGTCAATCAATCTAATCTGTTCCTCGGCGCAATACGCCGGCTACTATACAAGCACAATCGAACGTGCCAGGAACATTGCCGGTGATCATGGTACAAGTTCCGGAATAAACTAAGCAGTTTATATTGCGCACGCAGTCTTATCACAAAATTTCGAAACAATCGTGAAACTCCCATACACCCTGGCGTAGCTTGTGTCGAGTGGTGGTATAACATTTTCGGTCAAGCCCGATCACATTAAAAAAAAAAAAAAGCCACGAACGTGCGCAGCACTATACTACTATTGATATGTCTACTTCGCGTCTGAATCGCACGCCATATAGGAAGTATGCGCTGGCGTCATTGGAGCTGCCATTTTGTTGTTCAGCCACCACTTTGAAAGGCACGCTTTCTTATTTGATCTGCTTATCTCCAGAAAAGCGAAGCTGTGGATCGTACACCAAAATGGTAAGCTTTGACGTCAGGTGAATACCCCGCTATATTGTTGCCCGGCTAAATATTCCTGTTGCGCCGACGAAAAAAAAAAAAAAAAGACTAGGGATCACAAACTTGTTCAGATACCCACTGCTACTACACAGGAACAGCTTGTGTTCTGTACAGCTTAATTTTTGATTGCGCGCACACGTTGGGGTCTAGCAGCGGCAATCAATAGCCTACACGGAGAGCACGCATGACGAAAATGAGCGCGGTACCTGCACTCCCGCACAATGGCCCCGTGTAGCGTGCCATTGTTGGGCCGGTGCGCGTCGTCGAAGTCGCTGGTGTCGAACGTGGCCAGCGTGAAGTTGGTGTAGCCGCTCAGGCTGAGCCCCTTGCTGTGGCGCACCTGGTACACAAGCCGCGGAATGAACTCGCTCGTGAAGGCGATCAGGAACGCCTGCAGCGTGATGGTGCAGAAGCGTCGAGGTGCGGTCTAATTGATGTACGTCGATGGCGTAAATAGTGGCGGAGGGGTGGAGTCAGAGCGGTGGCTACTTAGGTTGGTTGGTAATGCATTTTCGAAAGAGATCCACTTTCTTAGTGTGCAGGGAACGTTTTTAGGAAGAAGATAGATAGGACAGAGCGCACACACTTAAAGCCATTGTATTGCACAGAAGACGGCAATATATATATATATATATATATATATATATATATATATATATATATATATATATATATATATATATATATATATATATATATATATATATATATGGACTGTCTTCTGGTCACATCGTCCTTTGCTTTTTCTATTGTATGAATGATATTGTTGATGTTATTCACCCTAAAGTGGAAATAAGATTGTTAGCAGATGATTGTGTTTTGTTCAAAGAAATACGTTCCACTAACGATTTCAACGATCTGAGCACCAGTCTTTGCAATATATATGAATGGTGCAAGAAATGGGGAATGTGTCTCAACGCGAACAAACGCATGTGCCTTCCAGTGACTCGCCAAAAGAATCCACTATCGTATACATACATATTAGGGTCTTCACCACTGCAACAAGTAAACTCCTACAAATACCTTGGTGTGACACTCACTTCCAACTTATCTTGGAATCTCCATATTGATAATGTTTGTTCATCTGCCTTTCGTAAACTATGTCTTCTTAAACATCAACTTCAAAGTGCTCCCACAAATGTTAAACTACTTTGTTAAACAGCCGTTGTGCGGCAAAAACTAAAGTACGCGAGCATAGTATGGGATCCTTATACAACACGTAATAGATACACTCGTGAGCGTATTCAAAGAAAAGCTGTTAGATTTATATTCAACAAGTACTCCATGTTAAACTCACCCTCAGATTTAATGCTAGCCCACAAAATTCCCTTACTGCAGATGCGAAGACAAAAAGCTAGATTAGAATTCCTTGATCAACTTTTGAAGAAAAAAATAGCTCTACACCCATCCCCGTATTTGACACCCCTTAGTAGCCGGCCCACCCGGCACCACCACCTAAAGGCCTTGATCCCATATTTTGCTCGCACAGACCTACTGAAGTATTCGTACTTTCCAAGAACCATATGTGAATAGAACTGTCTTACTAATACATGTGATGAATGAGCTAACCTACCAAACAACCTTCTTCACTTATTATTGTTTAGTTTCGCAATTATTCTATATATATATATATATATATATATATATATATATATATATATATATATATATATATATATATATATATATAATATGTAGTCAAGAGGGCGATGGAATCAAAAAAGAAACAGGGAGTATCTTGTCAGTTAAATTTCCATTTCAAGATTAAAATATTATGATCTGGCGGATGCGCCATCATTTTTTCCTTTTCTGTGTGTGCGATTCCCTCGCCCTCTCGACTGTGTACTCATATTCCCACCTTCTGTGAAACAAAATGGTTGTAAGTGTGCGCTCTGTCCTATCGGTCTTCTTCCGAAAAAACGTTCCCCGCGCACTAAGAAAGTGTGTCAGAGGGGTACTTCCATGTTTGGCTCGATGCAAGGACGATGCACGTTTTTACCGACTAGGAACCACGCAGCATAGAGTTTCCCACAATACTTACTAGAGGGAACTTTGGCGCTAGTGTCTATGGGAGCTGCAATGCACAGCACTTCAGTGAGGATGGGAATGATGGGTAGTACACACATTTGTCTAAACTTCTTACTTCTGGCCTGCTCTTGGCTCCGTGTGTGTTCGTGTGACTTGAAGCTGTTTTCTCACGAAACAAAAATCAGCAAATGTTCAGCAATTGTGCTTTACCACCGTATCTTTTTTTTCGAATTACCTTTTCAAATTGGGTCACGATGTTCAAAAGGGTTGAATCTCTCTTTCAAAACAAAGTCGAAACACAGCAATAAACGAAGCCGCAAGTACGATTTGCCACCCGAAAGTACGAAGACTAGGCAAATGTGTGTACTACCCATCATTCCCATGGTCTCTAAACGATCGCAGCGCCAGAGTGCCCTCTAGTTAATTTTGAGAAACTCTATGCCACGCAGCACCTAGCAGATGCCGTCAAAGTCAATGACGTCACGGCTACTGGTGCTCAAACTTCGCAGTGCGTCGCCACCCGCATTTTCTCACTTATTCTTACCCGAATCGCTCAATTATTCACACGAGAAAAGTCATTTTTTCCTAATTAGTGTCCCTTGAATACGCAGGTACAGATTTGCCATGGCATGTAACACAGATGGTGACAGCTGCGACTGTTGTAAGTAGCCTATGGAAAGCAGGGACGTAGGCAGACATTTTTATTGGGGTGGGGAGGGGATTCTTTTTGAAGCAACCATTTTATGCTCGGTATATCATGACGAAGAAGAGTTTTTTTTGGGGCGGGGGGTTGAGGGACACGAATTCCGTGTTTCACCCCATAACTACGCGACCGAGTGATATAGTAACACAGAGATATCTGTAAATCAAAAGTGTCGTATTTCCATTTTCAGAAATCTTCACGATTATACGCTTCGAGCTCATTTTGGTATCTTCACGGCCGTGTAAATTAATTTCTCGAGGGTATTGTAATTCATATTAGTCGCCGTTAGGATGATCTATTCGTTATGTTTGCGTTATTCTTAATTTTGTTATCTGCACGGCCGTGTAAATTGACTTCTTGAGGGTATGGTAACTCATAATAGTCGCTGTTAGGATGATCTATTCGTTATGTATCGTTATGTATGCGTATTATTCGTTACGTATGCATTTTCAAGTGGTATGCACGTTAACCTTTATACTTCCGGTCAGTTCATTCACAAGTCAATGTCATTTTCAAACATACAGTGCATCTTCCACAGTTTTGAATGCCTGCATGATGATTATCTCCTCCCTTCCTGCACATACCGAGACCCTTTTAAAGATTTGGAAGCGCCATCGAACTAATTGAGCTATGCTTGCTTACTTAAAAGGGCCCTGCAACACTTCTTGAGCATGGTCAAAAAACGCTGCCGATCGGTAGCAGAGGCTCCCAACAATACGCGAGACAAATATTATAGCGCAGCATGCGGCCTGGAATTCACAATAAATTATCAAAGTCAGCTAATGATTGCTTTCTCTTCTCTCGACAAATCACGCAATATGCCCGAAAAGCACACGTAGCAAGACCATCTATCAGTCATTGGCTGATTTGAACACGGGGCACCCACTCGTTACAGAGATCGCCGCGGGAGGTCGCTACTTGTCCACGCATGCGCGTGCAATCACACAGAAAAAAGCCGCGCATTCGAAGAAAAAAAAAAGCTCTCAAGGTCACAAGGTGCGCGTGACGTTTTTCTGTGGCCCTGCCATCCCTCCCTGTTTAGCTTTTGTCGGGACGAGAGAAGAGAGAATGCAATTGCAGCGTGTGACAAACCTTTGTAACTCCACTCGCACTGGACGGATTCTTAAAATTTTTGCTGCGTTCAATTCGTGAGATAATAAACTCTTCTATTCAATTCATTCCATGATTACTTCAAAAAGTGTTTCAGGGCCCCTTTAATGAAAATGATAAGTGGCGGTACCATGCTAGTCTCTTATATAAATGCAATCCTAACAATCTGATGGCATGTGTGGAATACATGAAATAGTTCTCAGAAACTACGTCGGTTTTCACGAAGACGTATTCCTGTGTTAATTCTTCAACATTAACCCAACAGTCCAAATATAATTACCTACATGGTTTTCAAAAGCATTGTTGCTTAGATGTTTCAGGAAAACTCGAAGTAGTGAATGAAGATTTTTTGCGAGAATCCTTATTTCTCACATGCCTAGGTAGCGCAAGGAAATGAAAATTTCAATAAGCTATTGCATTACAATCGCTTGGGTGCATCATTCGCAACTATTTGTTTTTTTTAGCAAACTCACATTGCAAATCACGGCGCAGCGGGCAAGGAGCCTCAAGATGGCTTGCCATGCGCCTGCGAGAAATCAACACAAGATAAAAGACATAAGTTGCAATGGCGTCCGATTGGGAGCTGGTAAAAAAAAAACGCATTAAGGAAGCAGCATGAAACACAGGCTCATGACTGGAAGTTACATTGCGCAGCGTTCAGGCAGATTATTAGATAGAATAAAATTTTGAAGTCTCGTGTTTCAATTTCACGCCGATACTGCAGCACGCAAACGTCAGTGGGGCGTTGCAAATTTTAAAGTCAGACTACGTATTTTTGCGGAATAGGTTTCATGAATTTTTTTTTGAAAAATTTGCTGCGTTAAGGCTGTGTCCCTCAGAAAACTATGAAACCATTTTAGCGACAAAGTATTACACAAAATATTATACAATCCAAGCAGACGCTGTCAATACTTTACGGCAAGATGGGGGGGGGGGGCACTTTAAGGCTGTGCCGCTACCTGTATTTTCTTCTTGCGCGTTTTGTCGCTCAGCAAGCACCGTCTAACGAAAGTAATGGTGCTCTCGGCACATGAAGGTGACATTTATTAAAACAACACAAACCGTTTTTCCATTCAGTATCCACTTTAGGTTTGAGACTGGACTTGGGAGACTTTCACGTTGCGCTTCCTACTAGTCTTTTCCTTCTCGATATGGACCCATGAACGCAATTGTCAAGATGCAGCAGTAGGCTCAGAGCACACAGCCTATAGCGAATATACAGACAGCAAAATCTGGCTCGTTGGTGTACTTATTAGGGGGGGGGGGGGGCGGTGACTTATACCTGCAACTTCCCTGATGGGATAACGGCGTACCGACGGAGAAGGGGCGTAACCAGCAAGATGAGGGGCTGTCCCCCTAGAAAATTTTCAGTTTAGCATACACGCACACACGAACACGCACAAAGGTTAGTTCCTCCCCTTCGTTTAAGAATTTTGGGCTACGTTACTGCCAGGGAGCCTTGTTAATACGGGTGTAAAGAGGAGAGATGTTTGAGCATGATCATGTGTTCTACAAACGTATCATTTGCTTGGCATCACTGGCAGCCGATGCCGGCGATACTGACCCCCGTATTCTAGAACGTCCCTTCACTCAACGCTTCACCTTCACTTGAGAAAGCCGATGGGAGCGCCATCTATAGGCACGGCAAGCCACTGCATATGAGCGATAATCTGCTGCGATTCTTGAGTAGCGCGGCGCTATTTTCAGCCGAGCGGTGGCACAGTGCTCAACTTTGTCAAGTGAAGCGTCGAAGTCGAGTCGAGAAGCGTTTGTGAATACGGGGGTGAGTCTACACAAACGTTTTAGAACACTGTACTGAGGCTGCAAATGAGAATTATACGACGCGCCCTCTCGTCAGTGACAGGTGCAGCACAGTCACTTGGAATAAAGCAGAAGTCGTTCAGTTGCATAACTGGACCTTTGTGTATGGCCCGTAGCTATGGGGAAAGGGCAGCCTGAGCCCCCCCCCCCCCCCCCATCTTTTCGAAGACGTTCCTAACTACGGGCCTGATTTGTGCACATGTCGGTTACACAAGGCACACGTCACAAAGGTAAACCCGCACCGATGTTCGGCACCCTCTCGGCGACAGGTCGACGCAACCGTTTGCTGTATCGGTAAGCGTCCAGCCTTATCTCGCACACGTTGTTGATAAGCGCGAACAGGGGCGCCAGAGGAAACGCGGCCACGAACAGGGTGACGAAGCCGAACTGGATTGCTGCGATGGGGACAAAAAAAGACAGTCGTTACCACTAACTATTGCACGATCAACCAGTGGTGGTATCGGTCACACCGTGTTATCGGTTCTCTTCCGAGCACTTCCGGTCCAAAAAAGTATTAAAGAAAACTGATACGATGTCGATTATGATGGTTAAGAGTTATATTTGACTGCATTGGAGTATAAGTGTGGTTTAGTAATCTCAGTACATGCTCCAATATCATGCGTATCAAATATAATGGTCAACCACAAGGCAACCGCAGTGAGTTATCTTAAGTATTTTAAAGATAACTAAAAGATAACTAATTGTAAGGATAACTAATTAAAAAAAACTAAAGATAAAGGCTTGTAGTTATGGTGCTTGACTTCTGACTCGATGGTCACGAGACTGAATCACGGCCGTGGCAGTCGTATTTCTATGTAGGCAAATTCTAGGGATGTGTACATGGGTTCAAGGGCACGTTAAAGGACCCCAGGAGGTCGAAAGTTTTGAAGCACTCCCCTAGAGCGGCTTTCAATCGTATCCTAGTTTTGGGACGGAAAATCGGCATTTATTTTAGTAATAATCAATCGCTTATTTAAACAATCATTTACTTAACATCCCCTGGAACAAACATGATGTATTAATGCAGGCACACACGAAAATAAAACTATAAAAATAAACAATACAATGCAGTCTACAAAAAAATAAATAAAAACATTGAAAACGCACAGAGAAAAGAAAAAAAAATCGGCGCAATATGGGAAGAATAAGACAAGGCAAGCATCGTGGTATAGCAGCGAATAATAAAGGGAACAATGCACTGATATGTGGAAAACTTCTTGAAAAACGTGAAAGTGAACAGTCTGTACATCATAAAAATCTATATAAAAAAGACAATGCAAAGTTGAGATGAAAACAATGACAGTGGGCTGTGAAAAAACATCAACATTATGAAAGTTAGTATTACATAGACTGTATTTTGTGAGCAGTAGAGTGTTGGAATAAGTTGGCAGGTACTTGAAATGGTCGATTCTCTCTGGTTAATTTACGCGGAATCTAAAAATTCACACAACTCAAAAGCAAAGAAGGGCAGGATATCATACTGTGAACTAGTTCGTAAAGGAATAAGAGGTGAGCGCGATTTTGTCGGCGGTGAATTGATGCCAATAATAATACTCTGGCAGCGTTATAACAAGATCCAGAGTCATTTCTAGCAAAACGATGGTTGTAAATGCTTAAGACTTTTTGCTGCACTCACCCAATGACGTCAATGCCAGATTTAGCAATGCCATTTCAGATTTCGGAAGCATACTCAAGTAGAGAAAGACATAATGTGGTGTACAGTTTATGGAAGGCTGTACGAGGACTGAATTATTGATAGGTTCTGCAAACAGCCGAGAAAACGAAGGTCTCACTGAACAGTACGTTTAGTGTGAGCAGATACAATTAGTATGCTATCAAAAAGAACACCAAGATCGCTGAACTCATAAACCTTACATAACGACACGATATTGACAAAGTATGGAAATGACACGATAGATGTTTTGCAAGATTAACTCATGAACTTGATCTTTGAAGTATTTAGGGAAAGAGTATTCTTGTCACATCATTCAGAGAAAGAACACAAATCTGATTGCAGCAAGCGGTAGTCATTAACTGCATGAATTTTCTTGAACATTTTAATGTCACCGGCATACAAGAACAAAGAAGAATAAAAAGAATAACAAATTACAAAAGAAACGTCGTTACCGTAGGTTAAAAATAAGAGTGAACCCAATACAGACGTTGAAGGACCCCGTTAGTACCTTTGTACAAGGAAGACGTTTGACTATTAGCGGCAATATAACTTGATCTTACAAGCCGATAGTTCTGCAAGAGATTCACAACAAGTTAACAGGAAAGTTCGTAAGTTTAACCAAAACCACTAAGTGGCTGACCACGTCAAAAGCTTTGCTCAAGTCACAGTAGGCTACCTCAGCCTGCCCTCTCTGAGAAAGAGGTGGGGCGATTAGCGCCATGAAACTAGCAAGATTTTTGGTAGTTGAGCGGCCAGGAAGATCCGTGTTGATTAGGAATCAATGAATTTCTTACGCTAACATACAGCATGCCGTGAAGAGTCAGCTCAAATACCTTCGATGTTGCACACAGATATCGGGTGATAACTAGAAACATAAGTTTTGCAGCCCAAAATAAATGCCGGAAGATTGCGCCCAGTATTCAACATGCAAGGAAATTGGAAGCATTAAGACAGTTATTAGTTATTGCAGTCAGTGCTGGAGTAAGTATGGTTGAAGGGATGCCATCTGGGCCACACAATAAGGACGATTTTATGCGCCTAACGCATGAACAGATGCGCTTTTCATTTAGCGACAGACTACTAGATATGCTAACTGCTTTGTGCAGTTTTTATTATTATTATTATTATTATTATTATTATTATTATTACAACAAGCCTAAAGGCCGAGGTGGCTCCTATGCAGCCGCCTGTTGTCTCAGCGTGGAAGTGGTCACATTTACCGCTGGGTGTAAGGACGGCTTTTGCGACCGCGGCACGACCAGCTATTACCATGCACTGGACACATGGTAACAGACTCCACGAGGCACTGCTCGACTTAATAAGCAACACCGGTCTTACGACGCACACCTAATGCACATATACACGTAAAATATTGTGCCTTCAGGTTGAGTCTATGTCACAATAAAAAGCGAGCCTTCGTTCTACGAGGTTAGGCGGAAGTCACAGGGGGCTAAGGTGGTGCCATTTCCCCGCCTCAGAATGACTTGGGAAGCGAAAGAAGGCGGGATCGCACAAGTGCTCACTCATTTCGAGGTACTCGTCAAAGGGCGCGAGCTTGGGGCATTCCTCGAGGTTGAAGTCTTGCTCCCAGCGTGCGAGCTGCGATTTGGGCTCGATGATTTCCTTGCCGAGTCTCCTGCGACGCTGACGCCACCACGCCTTGAATATGCTGGAATACAAAAAAAGTATTATAAAGTACATGACAAGTGACGTGGTGAAAGGTACAATTATGATTGTGCGCTGTTCACCGTTACGCGTCCTCCGTATACACTAGTACCAGGCCGCGTCCATTTCGGTATGCTATGAGCTAACGAAACCACAAGAGCACGAAGACATACCCAGCCGCGGTAGTCCTGTGGCTATGGTGCTTCACTGCTTACTCGAAGGTCGCGGGATGGAATCTCGGCCGTGATGGCCACTGTTAAATGGAGACAAAATGCTAGATGTGCTTCCATTCTTTTGTTAAAAGAACTCCACGTAGAAGCGATCCTCGAGGCCCTCCACTTCAGCCCCTATCTTAATCATATCGTGGTTTCGGGACGTAAAAACCCAACATTTACTAATTTTACACGAGCGGACGAACGGGCAGATGGACGGACGGTGAGTGATGGACGGACGGTGAGTGATGGACGCGTGGATGGATGCCGATGGACGCGTGGGATGGATGCCGATGGACGCGTGGGATGGATGCCGATGGACGCGTTGGATGGATGCTGATGAACGCATAGGATAGATAGTGATAGATACTGATCGATACTGATCGATACTGATCGATGGATGGATGGATGGATGGATGGATGCCTCGATGCAGATTTTTAGAAGCCAAGCTCCTTAAGCCGTGCAGTCTGCAGTAGTAGTAGTAGTAGTAATAGTAGTAGTAATAGTAATAGTAATAGTAGTAGTAGCAATAGTAATAGTAATAGTAATAGTAGTAGTAGTAATAGTAATAGTAGTAATAGTAGTAGTGGTAGTAGTAGTGGTAGTAGTAGTAGTAGTAGTAGTAGTAGTGGTAGCAGTAGTGGTAGTAGTGGTAGTGGTAGTGGTAGGGGTAGTGGTGGTAGTGGTGGTAGTGGTGGTGGTAGTAGTAGTGGTGGTGGTAGTAGTAGTAGTCGTAGTCGTAGTCGTAGTCATAGTAGTAGTCGTAGTCATAGTAGTAGTCGTAGTAGTAGTCGTAGTAGTAGTAGTAGTCGTAGTAGTAGTAGTAGTCGTAGTAGTAGTCGTAGTCGTAGTAGTAGTAGTAGTCGGTAGCTACCTTTTCTTTAGTCCTTGGAATGTCCGCTCGATGGCGGTACTTCTATATAATGAATATATGATGAAACGATGCGAAATGGCGGGACTTGGAGTGTTCACTAGATGGACGCACGCACGAAAGAAAGCAAGAACGAACGAACGGACGGAAGCGCAGACAAACTGACGGACGCTTCTCCCCTTTCATAATTCACTCCGTGGACATGCTGCGATTTTTTCCAGCGTAGAATGGCAAGGTTAACGTCGCAAAAAGACACCAAAGTGCAACAAGAACCAGTTGAGATTGGTAAAGCATTCCTTGAGAGGTGTATTTTTAATCTTGCCGTCATAGGTGCGTCGTGAGAAAAAGTAGTGAAGCTTATCGTTTCCTTGAAATTTCCGCTTCAACTTAGCACCCGAATGTCAATGTCATGCCGTGTATTTTACTCTTTCTTGTTTCTAAGCTATTGGTCACACTGGTTCATAGAATTTCCTCAGCCTTTCTGTGTTAGGTGTCTAGCTCTTGCAACATACTGAAATTCATTTTTACCGGTAAAAATTATATTGACTTATGTGAGTCCGTAACATCTGTGACGTCATGGTGGATTGATGCGGGAACCTCAAGTCGATGTCATCACTACTGAATTTCTGGCGAGTTTCTCGCTTAACGAGAGTTTCCTGACGGCAACGGCGGTGCATCGGCACTATGAAAAAGGAATTCATTAGCCCAATAATGCAAGTGCATTTATTTATTCAACTGATATTATCAGAGCTCGGGAAAACGAAAATAAGGGCGAATCGTTTCAACACGACTGACTTTCTCATTTTCCACGAAACTAATTAAAGAACAATCTACAGAATCTCTTGAACAATTTATAAAACATACATGAATGATTTCAAACATCATTTCTGTGCTTCGCTTGCAACATGGCGTTATACCGAAAGTATACTTACGGGACCACGATGTTGTGCGTGGTCCTGATGGCTTGCTGACCCAACATGACGGTGGCGAGCTGGACGAATACTTCGTATAAGCAGCCACCTTCGCACTGTTATGAAAGGGGTAGCGTTCATCAGCTGACAACTACAGGCCAAAAATTTTCATCACTAATGTTTATCAGTGGCGCATATATGAGAAAATTAGCTTTATATATCGCTAAATCGAAGACAATCCTACTCCTATTCCATCCTGCGCTACAGTAACCTACCCCTCCAGCACTACGCTATCCTATATCCTATTCTCCATAGTGTAGTCCTGTCCTACCCGACCATCCATATATATATATATATATATATATATATATATATATATATATATATATATATATATATATATATATATATATATATATATATATATTCTATCCTACTCTGCCTTACCTTGCCTTAGCCTACTCTACCCCTGTCTGGACTGTCCAGGCCTGTCTATTGCTGCCTTGCTCAACCTTATTAATTCATTTACAAGTGCCTCACTCACAGAGATATTGTGTAAGGGGCCGAATACACAACTAGAAGCAATGTAGGTTAGTATCGAAGAGTAAGGCAAACCGCAGTACAAGGTAGTTTAGCGTTAAAAAAGGGTAGGTAAAGCAACATAGATGTAAGTACAAACCGATCGTACTAACCAAGCCAAATTGGTTTGGTTGAGTTAGGTTAGGATTGCTTGGTTAGCGTGAGGGCTAACTTTAAAAAAAAGTAAATTTTGCATGTGGAATGATCAACCGATGGCACATATTTGCTGACCTCGGTACATCTTCGCACGCTAACCTTGATTCGGTGTTCAGTCACACGCCTGTAGACAGGTAACGACACGCGAACACAAAAATAGCAAAGCTACAAAGCCCTTTGAAATCAGCGTGGTATTATATGGAACGTTAAAACCTGCCAGGCATGTTGTATAGATAAATTTATTATTTTCACACATCATAGCTTTTTGTTCGGTACAGGGTGTACTGAAGCGATCGAGAAGCTTAGCCAGATAGAGACGTACGGACCTTATCTAGGGTGTAGCCTTTCCAATGCGCCTCGCTTCCCGGATCACCCGAGAACCTGGAACATGGAACGTGTATTAATTTCAACAAATCTGAGCATGACATTTGTAGAAGCGTGCTTCAATGTGCACGTTGGTTTGCGTATGCACTATAGGCGAGTTCACGTAGGGCACGTGGGTATATTAAGACTAACACGTAATCTTGTTTCTTCTCACCTACAGACTATTTCACGTTATGTGGGTGCCAACACCTTGGGCTGTGAAACGAATATTGAGTTTCCCGTGGCGTGGATCGATAAGATAAAAAAGGGCCGAATGCATCAGCCCAAACGTTGTCATCATGTGCCTGTATACGCCCACAGTGGCGCTGTTCATTTAGCTGTGCAAGATACATAACGGCAATGTTAAAAGTCCAGTATGGCAGCACCTAACTACACCCATGGACTAGTCTATAGTAGGCAATGCTAACAGTCCAGTATGGTGGTACCTAACTCCACCCGTACAATAGTCTATAGTCGTAGGTAACGTTAACATCCAGTACGGCGGCACCTAACTCCATCCGTAGAATAGTCTTTAGTAGGCAATGTTAACAGACCTGCACGGTGGCACCCAATTCCACTCGTAGAATAGTCTATAGTAGGTAACGTTAACAGTCCAGTACGGTCGCACCCAACTCCACCCGTAGAATAGTCTATAGTAGGCAATGTTAACAGTCTAGTACGGCTGCACCAAACTCCACCCGTAGAATAGTCAATAGTAGGCAATGTTAGCAGTCCAGTACGGCGGCACCTAACTTCACCTGTAGAATAGTCTATAGTAGGCTGTTCATACCCACTAGCCCAGCAGTTATTGCGCTTGACCGCTGACCAGACGTTTGCGTGTATAAATCCCAGCAGCAGTGGTCGTATTTCGACAGAGGGGAAAGAGTGCTAGAAGCCCGTGCAAGGCCAAATCGTCAAAAATTCCGGAGCCCGCAATGACGGTGTCCATCGTATTGTGCTTTTGGAACTTGTAGACCACAAAATTAGTGTGTTATTAAAGTGAAAGACATGCCTCACGACAACTGATCGCCCGCATCGGTGGCAACAACATGAATGACGCAAAAAATTATCATGCGATGACGTCACAAGGTGGTCGAAGTTTTTGACGTGACGTCATCACATGGAATCGTCGCTTTGTCAAAGGCCTTGCACGGAGGCAATGGAAAACGATACGAGCTTTAAGTGACATCTAGTCAATCCAGTGAGAGTTGATGGCTTGCACGTGATGCCATAGACACCCAACACAGTTCCAATATGGCAGCCTCAGATTACGTCAAGGCAGCATATTCGCGTGCCGATTCTCCTCCTCTTCAGTGGGAATAACGTCACCTAGAACCTTATTGGTCCTCTGTGCATAAATAATGAATAAACTTAGGATGGGATGCACTGATAACACTAACGCGACACCACGAAGTTCACGTGCCACCATGTTGGAACTCCAACGTGGCTGTTTCAATGACATCTGTTCAAGCCATGTATGAGGTGTCTTTCGTAGTCTACTCATCTTAAAAAATTACATAGTAACCTTGTGACATTTCGGTTTTTCCGCGTTTATGATGCAGACTATTACATTTTAATCGCATATACAGTGATTGAACATTATGCGGACGTGTGGCTGTTTTCCTGACCTTCCTTTGAAGAAGGAGATGTAAATGAGAGACGAGTAGTTGTTGAGGAAGGTGAAGAGGAACATCTTGAATGCGAAGCTGTACTCGTAATCGCGCTGCGTCCGAGGCCGTTCTGCAAAACATAAATACAGAACGTCGTTCAGCGTAAGCAGTTTAGACAAGTGACGCTACAATTTAAGTCAAATAGTTAACGTGCAACAGTTCATGCAAACTCATGGACAAACCACTGTACACGGAGTATTAGTCTACTGGTCTCAGTAACGATAACTATATAGCATGAAGTAATATCACATCTCAACTTGCTTGAGAGCATGTAAGTCATTAACATGCCACGTTTGCTAGGTATAATCATATTATTTCGCTTCGTACGATTCCGGTCGTTTCTTCCATGTCACCAGTTCAAGCTTTCATTTTTACGTGCAATATGTCTAATTTTTCTAGGCATTTCTGCTATAAATGTTCTAATGTTAATAAATGTTATTAATTTATAAACGTTGTGTTATACTTTGCCAATCCGCTTTGCGACGTGCCTTTATTTAGTATATGAAATGCCTTACAAGAAAGTCTATAAAATAAACAGCAACTGCTCAGCCGCAACCGAGAAGTATAGGAACAGATCGTAGGTGCTTATATACACAATGCAACATCTACTTGGCCCATTAGAAATCATGCCCGTAGCCCTTCACCCAAGCTGCTTCAAGTGAAAACAAAATGTGCGCCGTTAGGAAGACCTAGCTCTGATGGCTAGTGTGCAGCAGCACTGCACTATAGATTTGTATCGTCATTGTTAACTTCGGTGTCATACTGAATATTTCCGTGAACAACCGCCACGATCGATCTATAGTTAAAAACACTGCAGAAGTGCATGGGAGAGACTGTTCTTTTAGTCGCGTAGGCGATTGGCTGCTGCGCTTATGTCACCTGAGGGGAGCCCCACTGGGCTCAACTTGTGTTAAATTATAAAGACAATTTTCTAAACAATGGTAGGCACTGCTGACATACTGAAGCGCTTGTAGTGACGTCACTCTGTGCGGGGGCCCCTTGCCGACTCCAAAGCTCGCCACCACCCTCTATGGTCACGTGACAACTGGCACAGCAGCAGCAAAGCTATCTTCGAGTACAGCGCGTTGGAAAGAAGCCTCCCGCGTACCGGATCACGTGACAACTGGCACAGTAGCTTAAAAGATACCACAAGCCCAACACGTCGGCACTGTGCTTGGAGGCAGCTTTGCAGCTGCTGTGCCAGTTGTCACGGTTCCTCCCCAAAGCACTCTGCTCGGAGGCAGCTTTACAGCGGCTGTAACAGTCGTCATGGTTCCTCCACAAAGCACTATGCTCGGAGGCTGCTTTGCAGCTGTTGTAACAGTTGCCACGCCATCATAGAGGGCAGTGACGAGCTTTGAGCTGGGCGGGGCCCGTGCGTAGTGACGTCACTATAGACAAGCGCCTACCGCTGTGTACAAACATGGAATAGGTCTATAGAAAACTTTAACCGCCTTAGATGAGAACTCTATAATAAAGTTCCGTGGAGCATCTTGCGCGAGTCAGTGATGTTTATATTGCTGCGTACACCGAAGTCCATAAATGTAGTGATAACACTCACCCAGATCAGTTAAGCGATTGGCGATCCAGCCATATAACTGCAAAGAAGGGAGTGATTCGTGGTGAGGTTATCATCTAAAGTTTGTCTGTTGATAAACATTGAACAAGTTTACGGTCATGCTCTGGCATCAGCTTTGATGAACTTTCTTGCTCGCGTCTGTTCGCCTGTGCGCTTTGTTGAAACTTGAAGTGTTTTGAAATGACGAGTCTGCACTGTATAAGAACATGTCCAAGTCCGCACCTTTTGTCACTGACTGGCGTACCTCGACTGCGGTATTGCTTTTATGTAGCCTCCGTTCAACGAGCTTCCATTCAAGACACAATGTGCGTTGAAGTTTTTCAAGGAAAAAGGTTTAACCATACTTAATAAAAGTATGTCCGAACATGCGTTTGTACGTTTGCGTGCATACGCAAAATTTCCATATTCATACACTCATGTCAAATTCGAAAATTCGGGGTTCGGATTGAACCACCAACTCCCTAACATCGCCTGGTTACACCAATGCTGCCGATCCATTTGACGACATAGCTTAATGACCGCATTGCCATGGACCCCTTTAGAATAGACTTGACGAATGAAATCACAGATTTTCCATTACTTTTTACTATATAGTGTGATATAATAAATCACATTAGTAGGTCGGTAATTTATTAATCTAATGAATTACCCGAAACGAGAAATTTCTCAAACTATTAACTGATCGCTTTCCCAGCCGCCTTTATACTCAAATATAGTAGTAAGCTTTCCCTATGGTATGCGAAAGTTACAAGAGGAACAAACAAAAAATAGAATGTTATTATGAATGCTAGTCGAGGGTTTCCAGTTGAGCAAACATCTCCCAAATTTCATTAAGATGTCCCGAAATATAATTTACATGAGTTAGCCAATGCATCGTGATTCATTAAAGTAATTTGTCACTTTGAAAAAGTATTATCAACGTAACTTCATCACTTTTTGGCCATTGTAACTTCTTATCAATATTACCAGCCCGACTACAACCACTGCAAGGCAAATGCCCCCTCATGCGCTTCTTCACTCTCGTAGTCCACTTTCTTACAACTGATAACCTCTGGCTATCTCTCTTTCACGCAACACTGCCCGCGGCAACTTCTTGGTTTTGGTTAAGAAGTACTTGTAGGAGTACTGGCATAATTTTTTGATATACTTTTGACATTGCCGCTCAAAATAAAAAAAAAATTGCCCCCACCACTTTGAAGGGTACCGTGAGGAAATGTGAATGCATTTCTTGAGCCGAGAGAGGGCACCTTTGCCGCCAGACATTCACCTTCACCGACTTCTGCCATCGCCTTGAGAGGCGCCCAGCCAGTGAAAGGTCGAGAGTGAGGAGCGAGCGGACGGGAGAGCTGCAGCGCCAGCGTCTGAGCTCTGCGTTGGCGTTTCACAGCGGCGTCTCGAGCACACATTTCCAGATTTTCTTCAGAGGCGCCCAGCCAGCGAACGGTGGAGAGTGAGGTGCGAGGGGACGGAAGAGTGGGGCGTAGGGAGGAGAGAGAACGAACGGCGAGAGAAAAAGCGGGGAAGTACTGTACCAACCCTCTGCTAACTCTCTCACCCCACATGCTGCGGTTGCTAGGGGGGAGGATAAGCACGCTTGCGCCCGCAGCTGTTGCTACGGGAAAGGAAGTGAAAGCGGAGGGATAACACCAGCCAGCGGGCGGCCGCCGCCGTGGACGCCGCCGCCGGATGCCTGACATAGCCCGACGAAGGAATGCATTGGCATTTAAGACATTGGTGTCGAGGTTTCTGTACAGATTATTGTGGTGCCTGCGAATGCATCAAATATATTCATAATACTCCACCTTTAGAAACACTGAGTTTTATTATTGAGGGAGTGGTTTCTTATTAATAATAACAACAAGAACAAGATTATAATAATAATATTAGTAGTATTATTATTATGTTATCATTATTACTTATTAATGTTATTATTATTATTGCTGTTCTTGTTCCTTAAGATTAATACACTTTATTTTTGTTTTCATGGCTTGTGCGGCATAATTTGTAATGTAATATGACATAAACTAAAAACAGAAAATAATGAGTAAAGCAATTTAATTACCTCATTGGAGTAACTCCTTCACAAGTTTTTTCTAATACTTTGCAACACAGTCTACACTACGCACCTTGTTTAGCGACAAAATGACCATCAGGTTGATCATGGAAGCGCTGACCGTGGTCGCAACGTGCGCCGTGAGACGAGACCACTTGCTCGACAAGTACGTCACCATGATGATACGGTAGCCGATCACACCCATCACCGTACAAAGCACCACCACGAGCTGTAACGAAAACGAAAATCAGTTTCACCGCAAAAGGCGAAGCAGTGAATTCGATAGCAACATATTGTAATATTACTGTCAGAGGTGGCGACGCTGATGAAGGCAGAGATGGCTTGTCCAAAAACGAAGCTGTTTATTTGGCCGAACTAGTGGCCAGGTAAGGTAAAGTCGGATTACAGCAACAAAGTGGCACTTATAGCGACAAACAGAGCGTTGGCCGTCGATCGACTAATAAGCGGTGAAGCGCGTCGGCATTTTACAAGTGTAGTCGAACGTTCCAGCGTTTTCGCTGACAGCCACGCAGGTTGCACAATAATCTGTTATGTTCGCGTTGTGCGTGTAATATTAACACAACGACCTACTACACTCCTGAAGCTTCTCGAACACTGCAGAAGAGGTTTAAATTAGAATTACAGGGTAAGTGATAAGGAAACTTGAGTAAGGAATGTGGCAATGCGATGTAACCGTTTTTGAACCGATGTCGCGTAACTCAACAAAGCGCTGGTGTATATAGGAGAACACGGCTCTTCCAGTGTGGTTTTTGCAGCCTCTTCGACTTGAGCGCGTAGAAGAGAACACAAGACGTGTGCTGACACCTTTCGAGATGATGTGCGCGCCTGTGAACGCAGTTACGTCCTTATAATGAACGTTCATAGTTGCTGCTCAAGCGAAGAGATTGCAAAAACCACCCTGAAGGGCCCGTGTTCTCTTATATACACCAGCGCTTTGTTGAGTTGCTGCTCAAGCGACAACGCTTTGTTCCGCGCTTTGTTCACCAGCGCTTTGTTCATAGTTGCTGCTCAAGCGACACGCCCACGTTTTCTTTTCGCGTGTTTTCTCGCTTGCCAAGCGTCGCCTCGCGGTAACAGTGGTGGTCTAGGGATTGTGAAGTTGCACTTCACTGATAGCGAAAAATCGTTTTTTATCGTTAGTGTCCCATAAACATATTGACAGAGTGCTTGTGCGGTGATCGAGTGCATGCCGGCTCATGTCGGCGCATGTCGGCTTCCTTCGACGAAATTTCTCTCGAGCTCCCACTTCATGAAAACTGCAGCTTTACAAAACCCTTGTACGGCCGAAGATTGAATATGCCTCTTCTGTATGGGATCCACATTCTGCCAATCTTGTCTCCACACTTGAAGCTATCCAAAAATTGGGCCGCTCGTTTCATTCTCTCTGATTATTCCCGGTCATCCAGTGTCACTAACATGAAACAAGTAGTACAACTACCTGATCTTGCAACCCGTCGTATGATATCCCGCCTATGTTTTTTCCATAAAATATTTTACACCAATCAGACCTCAAAACAATCCCTTTTTTCAGTTCCATCATACGTGTCATCCCGCATTGATCATCCGTTAAAAGTTGGTGTGCCAAACTCCCGAACAAACCTCTACCTGAACTCGTTTGTCCCAATGACCAGCGTGCAGTGGAATCACCTTCCAGCCTCCATCGTCTCCATCAGCGACGCTGCGCACTTCAGGTTCACTGTCAGCAATCACCTTTTGTAACCACCCCGCTGTTGTCTGATTGTTTAATATTGTACCCCTCCTCTCTGTAACGCCTTACGGCATCGAGAGTAAATAAATGAAATAAATGCGGGGTAAGTAGCACCTCTCGCGGCCGCTACTTACCCCGCACCTTTACCAAATGTAAAGGGGGTTTATTGAAGGACTGAGCAAGCGGGCGGTAGCTCTAAAAGGAACGCAGGCGGACCCAGATGACGGTGCTTGATCGCCGATCTCGTGCCTTTTTCTTGAGTTGATGATAGCTGACCTGATGGTATCAACGTCTTTATTATTCACTAGAATTCATCACTACAATTAATCACTACATCATCATCATCATCATCATCATCATCATCATCATCATCATCAGCCTGACTACGTGCACTGCAGGACAAAGGCCTCTCCCATGTTCCGCCAGTTAACCCAGTCCTGTGCTTGCTGTTGCCAATTTGTACCCGCAAACTTCTTAATCTCACAGTCTGCCCACCTAACCATCTGTCTCCCCCTAACCCGCTTGCCTTTTCTGGGAATCCAGTTAGTTACCCTTAATGACCAGCGGTTATCCTGTCTACGCGCTACATGCCCGGCCCATGTCCATTTCCTCTTCTTGATTTCAACTATGATATCCTCAACCTCCGTATGTTTCCTAATCCACTCTGCTCTCTTCTTGTCTCTTAAAGTTACAACTACCATTTTTTTCCATTTGCTCGCTGCGTCATCCTTAATTTAAGCTGAACCCTTTTTGTAAGTCTCCAGGTTTCTGCTTCGCAGCTAAGTACCGGCAAGATACAGCTGTTTTATACCTTCCTCTTGAGAGATAGTGGCAATCTACCTGTCATAATTTGAGAGTGCTTGCCGAATGTGCTCCACCCCATTCTTATTCTTCTACTTACTTCAATCTCGTGGTTCGGCTCCGCGGTTATTACCTGCCCTAAGTAGACATAGTCTATAACAACTTGAAGTGCACTATTTACCTATCTTGAAGCGCAGCTCTTTTCTGAGGTTGTTGTACATTACTTTCATTTTCTGCAGAATAATTTTAAGACCCACCTTTCTGCTCTCCTTGTATAACTCCGTAATCATGAGTTGCAATTCGTCCCCTAAGTTACTCAGCAATGCAATGTCATCAGCGAAGCGCAGGTTACTAAGGTACTCTCCGTTAACTCTTATCCCTAACGGTTCCCATTCTAGGTTTCTGAAAACCTCCTGTAAGCACGCGGTAAATAGCATTGGGGAGATTGTGTCCCCCTGCCTTACACCTTTCTTGATTGGTATTCTGTTGTTTTCTTTATGAAGCACGATCGTAACAGCTCTGCAGTAAAACCTGCTTGGTCGCACATTTCCCCGCTCCTGGCACCAATTAAATGATCACCCATTATTTTGTTCTCTATAGTATCGGTTTCATCGCTCGTTACTTCGTGAATGTGAAGTGAATCCGGGAACGGAGCGCACGTACCAGGAAGAGGAGGATAACATTGGCCGCGGCGATCCGTCCGATCCTCTCCCAGAATGGCACGTGCGGCTCGTACCTCTGCAAGGCGACGGCTTGTTAGTTAACAGGTTAAAGCGGATTTCGTCTTAAACGGCTGCGGTGTCATTTGCTTACGAGAGTGACAGGATTCAGCTTGTAGACCCGAGCCTTGGCTTCGTATTCCGGATTGACAACTTCCTGCGCAGAGACAGACACAAACAAAGAACGCGTCCGGCATGTCAGTACTCATTGTAACACTCGAAGGTAAAAAACTTGCTGCAGACTTCGTATTGAATCGAACTGTGCAACCGTGCATCAGATTTCTTGCAGGACGTGACGAGTCGATGTGGTGTAGGCATGCACGTTCTCAGATAACCACGTTGCAACCCCCCCCCCCCGCCCCGATTACCTTCACCCCCCTCACTTGGCTTTCTGCACCTCAGTTGGTGCTGTGCTGCCTCTGGGATTATCCCCCTCCCCCCCGACCCCACCAACAAGCGGCGATGTCAACTGATGATGTCAGATTAGTTAGTGTCTTCAAGAAACGTCGAATTAAATCAAACGTTTATTCGTTTCGCATAACACGTCTACAACGTGGAGCACATACCAAAGAGGGTCTCAAAGTCGCGATATTGTACTAGTACCCACTGTACATGATTATTAGATAAAAATTGCGAAGTAAGGACCGAAGGGTAACGATGTCTAAATCAACGAAAGAAACGGGTGCAATAGTTACACAGAAAAAGAAGCATTGATAGGAACCATTCATAATGAAAGTTTATTGTAATAGTACGGTGAAAATGCGAAAGGGAAGCCGCCATGAAGAGTAACAATATATCATCCGTAATATTTATTACGAAACTAAAAAAAAAACATCAAAGAAACAGAGTGCACAGTATGAAGAATTTGCATCACACATTCAATCACGACGCCACCAATCACATCGTGACGTCATAAATTTCAAACCTGTGTGTCGTCATGATGGTACATAGTGACGTCAGAGACATGCCCTTATTCAGGTCACGTAATTTTCGTATCACTTCGTTTGCCCGCAAGTGACGAACGTTTCCCTCAGGGGCTGTGCAACGAGAAAAGTCAAAGCTTCCGTCTTAAAAATTAATGTGGTGACGTTACCCCTAACCAATCTTATAGCGTTGAGGCCTTCGCACTATTAAGCGTATAGTTACTAAACGTAAAGTTATACCACCCAGCAACCACATATGAGTGCCCCATATTGAATGAGGACGGGGTTTTGTTTGATGCCTCATCTACCTGTTCTTGGGCTGCGTGCGTGGCGGCTGCTAGTGCTTACCGTGAGTGTGTCAACGTTGCTCAGATTCCATTCCCAGGCGAGGACGACTTGCTGACGCTTCCAGAACTCGATGAATATGGTGGCTGCGACCACAAAATGGCATTACGAAGATGTAACCTCCAGAAACGCGGCTGCTTCAAAGTTATGCCACACTTGAGTGAAGCCGTGGTGACGTGTACAGACATGAACAATACAAAAGAGAACACAAAACTAATCTGCAGTATGCTGCTACGGCGTGCCTTATAATCCCACCATGGTTTTGGCGCGTCATTATTTCAGGATATTTAGGCCAACTGCACGAAGAAGACCTCTCGAAATCATCTCCACTTTACCATATGTCCTATGCGAGCCGATTTTATTTTATCCATGTAAATTCCTAATTTTGTCCCTTCAACTAAGTCTTTTGCCTTCCTCAACTGCGTTTCCCATCCATTGGTAACCACTGGATGGGAAAGAAATAGTCGCCACTGACTGGTAAACATTCATGGTAATGAATGGTAAACATTCGTTAGTAACCGTTTGTTTGTTATATGCATTACTGGTCCAACTCAGGTCCATTTCTTCTGCTTGATGTCAGCTAAGATACCCGCAACGCTTGTTAGATCCCTGACTCCGTCTTCCATCCCCCGATCTGTTGAGTCTACTTTAATGATTTCTCGTTGGGCCATTGCATGCAGTGTGGCCTTCAAGTTTTTCTTCGTTTCTTTGTAATCACTCATCTTTCAACCCCATATGTTAGAACTGGCAGCATGCAGCGGATGTATACTTTCACTAGAGTGACAGTAGCGGATTTTTGTGAGCAGTGCCAGCCGAATGTAGAACGCCAGACATTATATTAATGGTACTAAGCAGTCGAGAATCATTGTTGGAGCTACCAAATAAATTCATCTGCATGCGAATCATGCCTTTGTCTCTACTACGAAGTGGCATTTAAGTCCTGTTTGTGCATGATAAACTACTACATTTCATGTTTGTGAAAAATCTGCGCGAAAAAGACGGAGCACAAGAAGAGAAGACTTAGTATAAGCACTGCAGCGTTCGTACTGGATTTTTCTCTTCTTGCGTTTCGCCTTCTTCGCGATGATTTGTCACAAAATACGGAGCAATTGCTACTGGCCCACCTCTCACCCTTACCACTGCATTGGTGCACATTATACCCATTGATTGACAACACTGTGCCCTTCCACAGGCGTGAACTTAAGAGTCGCTCTGCTGCTTCCGACGCTGCTTCCGTATTCAGGATATAGCCCAGCCTTCGTTCTGAGTTACATGTCAATATTTGTACCTAAATCGCACTGCCCAGCCCGTGATCCTTGACTTTGCAGCAGTTCAAGCGCTGCTATTTGTGGACTTGGTTAACTTGCTCTATTCAAGAAATATCACCTGCAAGTGAACATAAACTTGTGGATTGGCACTGAACTATCACCTGCAAGTGAACATAAACTTGTGGATTGGCACTGAACAACAGGAAAAAAAGAAAGCCAAGAAGCGAAGTAGACTGCAGTTTAGACTCACCCCATAGTGACATAAAGACCGAGAACCCGACTGTGCCCGAATTGTCGAATATTGACACAATCTGCAGGCATGAGGACAAGAAAAAATAGCGTAAGGATTTCGTAGGGTTTACCTCTCGTTCAGTTTTCTTTTTGTGTGTGTGAGCTGAACAATGTGCTGGCATATTGAATGAACGAATGACTTTGCGATTTCAAGGTCACCACGCTTGCCGCGAAAACATGCTCGGAAAGCGAGAATACATGCAAAATTGACGCATGGATGGCGACGCCACCTTGAAATTTCTGCATGAACCTCGATGGCGTCGACTGGGTGCCGCTTAGTTCCTAACCAGTAAGGATGAAGTACATTAACGTCTGAAGTTGGCAAGCAGTTATAAGTTTCGGGTGAATTCAAGAAGCCAATGGAGGCGAAATTCGAACATTACCGCTTGAACTTAGCGACGTGACGCGCAAGAATCACGGTGAGAAATAAAAAAAAAAGAGCTGTAACTTTGACTCCCACCTCCATCATAAGCAAGTGGTGGCAATTTCAAAGACATGAGAGTTATCAGAGTTAAATTTATCGATATAAACTGATTTTTTTTCACTGCAGTGTCAGTCTCTCAAACCGACCTAGTGCGGGCTCTTTCACATAACAATATCTGAAGTGTGGTTGTTTATGTCAAATGCTGCATGAATTATACTGCAAGTCACCTGTATCTCGGTCCTGATTTTTACACAGTGGTAAGCAATACAACGTACCCTTTGGATGGTGCACTTGTTCTTGAGCTGATCGTAGGGGCACAACTTCATGCAGCTCGGGCACAGCGTGAAGTTTCCGAAAGTGTTCGGGTCGCACGACTCCTCGCTGCGAGATTAGATTAGAAGATAGATAGATAAATAGATAGATAGATAGATAGATAGATAGATAGATAGATAGATAGATAGATAGATAGATAGATAGATAGATAGATAGATAGATAGATAGATAGATAGATAGATAGATAGATAGATAGATAGATAGATAGATAGATAGATAGATAGATAGATAGATAGATAGATAGATAGATAGATAGATAGATAGATAGATAGATAGATAGATAGATATCAAGCCCTTTAACCGTGCAGATTGTGTACGCGTTGACTGCATCGATCCATCAGCGAGAGATTGTACTCACGTAGGTTTATTGGTGAGCATGTACGCAAGTCCGTAGAGTGACGTAAAGACCCCAACGAAGGCAGGCAAGATGAGCATGGTGGTGTAGAAGCCGACCCAGGCGAAGTACAGGCCTACCTTTTCCCCGAAGTAACGCCTGCGCAGACACATTCGTTGGGGGAGGTTAGCGCGGCTTTCTTGTAAGGTATCGTGAGCTAGCGGCACCTTTGAAGGTCACTTAGTATCTGAGGTTTTGCGTCTTAAAATTACGATATGATTATGAGAGACGCCGTAGTGGAGGGCTCCCGATATTTCGATCATCTGCTGTTCCTTAACGTGGACAGGCATCGCACAGTACAAGGTCATCAGCGGCCTCTGCGGCCAAAATCGGACCCCTAAGCTTCGCATTAGCAGATGAGCAACTTAACAACTGATCCGCTTTCGAAGATCTCTTGTAGAAGCCATCGAATCTAGAGGCCTAACGAGTACACTGTTTCTATCTGCGTTAATTTACGTAATACATTGCCTACACTGCCTACACCGATTACAGAGCTTTAATGAGACGGTGCTGGCACTGAAACAACAGCTGTGACCATTTTCCTTATAGTCGCTGGGACTTGACGTGCAAAAACAACGATGCGATTTCGAGGCACACTATAAAAGGGGGACCTAGGGCCAACCATACTCCCCCACTATGGCCCACTGGGTGTGCCGGGTTCAACCACTTGAGGTTCTTGAACGTGAACCGAATTTGAGTACGGGGTGTACTTTGAATAGATGCGGTGTGATGTTGCCTGGAATGTTACCTTAGAATAGTGCGCATGTGCAGCTATGGTGGTTTTGGGACGTTAAACACCACAAATCGGAAGTGTTCTGGTTGGGTACGCGTGTTTTACCTTGCCCCCCCCCCCCCCCAAAAAAAAAAGGTTTCAGTTGATAGTAAGCAGTGGCGTCGTTCTCTTCCTTTTTGTCCATCTCACAGTTCACGCTTGGAGTTTCTAAGGTGTATATGTCTACCAACTAAGTAGCTTCTAGGACTTACTACAGTTACTGTACGCTAGCCGTCTCCGGGTGTTGGAAGAACCAGCGATTTCTCAATGCGTGCTCGTTCAACAGCCCTGGAATATAGCAAAAGCCTACCTAATAAGAAAGAGTGGCTGCTCCTTGTACCAGCAACGGGCTCGTCCCCACTCGGCGTACAGGACCTGTAGTTGAATTAGGCGTCATTCACGAAACGTGAGAACACACCAAGCACCTTATTATTAACTCCTCGTACACGAATTCACGAAGAGGTATACTAAGTTCTGTCAGTACGCCAAATGAGGCTCGTGCAGCAGTTTTAACGCTACAAATACACAAAGAAGTGACCAAAAGAGCAAATTAGTAGGAGCTCAAACGTGGATGGTTGTGGTAAGCGTGAGTGAACGCGAATGCCAAGAGAGTGAATTAGATCAATAGCATAGCACAGGTGGACGTCAATGTAATCGCAAGTGACTATCAGTGAGTGTCGGCGAACAGGTGAACATTCCTCTCGCAGGTGAGTGTTCACGATCGCTACACTGTACTTTGCATTCAGAAGTTGTGGTTTCGAATTTAAATCGGAGGTGAAGATTCGGCTCAGGCTCTTACACTTGGACGATACAATGCATTGGGCACTGCGTAGCCACGTATAACGCGTTATGGTGGTCGAATGCTACTATATAGACAACTTCCACGAAGGGGTAAACTTACCCTGCGCTCCGAGTAGGTCTCCTTAGCTCTGTTGAAACGTCCTTTGCCGAAAGGGCCCTGGGAAGTTAAACTGGAAGCTCAATAACGATAATTATGGAAAGCATTGCATGACAAAAAAAAACAATTTAGATCAGTACTTAGCACTTGCTACTTCCTAAGCCCTCGATAGCATACATAGATTGAGATCATTATGGTGACACGACATTGTCGCGGTAGCGTTAACGAGAGACCCAGTGCACTTTCATTTATGATGGATGACGCACTTCTATACTTTCCATCTCGCACAAACTTAGTGATCTCGCGAACTTGGACACATTCACGTGTGCGGAGGCTTACGCACACAAGGAGGAACTGTCAAATAATCATGCAAGGAGAGACGCGAAGTATGACCCATATAATCTAACTCACTAGGACCTCTTAACGTTATGACATAGTTTAGTGTGCAGGGTTATGGCGACGCCGGTTTCGTCACTGCAATGGCGGCTGATAATAACGGCCCCCGATGCCTGATGTTGCATAACAAGAACTGTTGTCTTCCCACTTTCAATTCCGTAAAAATCAGGGTACAAGGGGTGACCCCAGGATTATTTTATCGGCGGAGGGGGGAGGGGTAGAGTACCTTCTAAAGGTGACATCTTTCAGGAAACTAAGTGGGAACCTATGTGCTGTGCTTTAAGTATGCTTGCTGTTGGGGAAGAGGGGCAAAGGGGGAAGTGGAAATCGTTGGGGGTGGGTTTATTCTTTGCCGGTTCTTATGTGGTAGTAGGATCTCTTATCGAGGTAACTTCTTAAGTCACGTAACCGCATTTCATTGCTGCATTGATAGGGAGTGCGATACCATCATTTCTAACTCTAGCAAACTGAAGTGTCGCGCTTCTCAGAATGGAAATCTTCTGATTCCCGGCATGGAGGAAAGAGAGTCAGGAGGGAACATTGTGCAATGTAGTGGAAAAGGAAGTAGTACGTCGGGAAAACACACGCAAATCTTCGCTCCTCACATTGTCCAGTAGGGCAAGGAAATCTTAATGTGTCTTTTATTTAATCTCGTCAGCCATTGGCAACATCGATGCAAACGTATTGAAATTCATTGTGGGAAAATAATAATAATTAAATCGTCAAAAAGATGTCGATGCAAACCCTGACAAGCTAGCTAGCTAGAAGGCTCTATGTAAATCATCGTCCTGACCATGTGACTATACTCTCGTCAGGGCTTCGTATCTCACTTGTCACAAATGAAAGAGAAAGCTTTTGAGTAAGTACCCGTTTTAGGGCGTCTCATCGACTGGCCGCCTTGTCCTCCTGCTACATTGCTGGTTTATTAGCGTTAATCGGCCCAAAATGTGTCACTAATGACAGAAAGCTTTTGAATCGGAACGATCGAGTAGTGGCGAACAGCCCAACTCACATCATGCAATGGGTAAGCTGCTAGGTAGGCTCCGGCGCTCAGAAGGTTGTATATGCCTGGAAGGAAGCGTGGAGAGTGTATCTTTGCAGAACTAGCAGCACCAGCAGGAGTAGTGGTATTATAGCAAATGATGCTCCTTCAGAACGGACGTGTTTCATTGGGCGCTAGTTTGGCTACACAGCAACCGATGAAAATGCGGTTAGTGGGAAAACATTCCTGATAGATAAAATTACAACGGATTTTCTGGTACATTTTTGTGAAATGGCTAAAAATAAATAGGCAAATAACCAAAACTGCTTAATGCAGTACAAGAAGGTTTGGCTTGCGCCTTTAAAATGTTGAAAAAAAAACCCCTTAACTGCCGTGCGGGAGACCTAGCGAGACTACTCTTTTTGAAAGGTTACTAATAACTTACCCTACAGAAGGTGTTGAAATAGCTACTCTATCTGACAAGCGGTGATGCTGGCCGCAATTTTTACACGGGCCACGGAATATTATTGCGTTATCGCTACCGTCCACGTACGTTCCAAAATAATCTGTAAGGTTTGTGAAGTGGGCGTATTCTTAACGAATTGATCTACTACTGTCCCGAAGCTTCTCGACGACTAAGGCCTGGTTTGCGTTGAGAATTGCTTACACTGTAATGGGGCGATAACAAAACTGGCGGAAACGTCAAACTGTCCTGACTGAAAAGTATGCAGTCCCATTTTATGAAATTTCATGGAGTACAGCTGTTTTCGTTATTTGTTTTTTTTTTGTCTGCGTTGCACATCAAAGAACGGGACGTGCGAATAAATTTTCATTTTTCTGCAATTTCTTGTCGCAAATCATGTTAAAATCGGGCAATTTTTCAGAAAACGAGATACAGCCCAACGAAATGGGCCAGTTCTGAAAAGATAAACAGTATAGGAGCACTAGCAGTATAGTGGTAGTTTGTAGCTATAGTAGTAGTTAGAAGCACCGTGTGAGCAGTTCTTTCTTGTTATTTCAAGGAACTCTTTCGCACGATGATCTTTTATCCGCCGTGTAAACTCTGTACTTAGGGTGTCGTGTCTCTGCGCTCGAGGCCCCAGGTTCCTTTGCTGGCTAAGGCGGCCACATTTTGATATTGACTAGATTCAAAATAACTCCTCTGTAATCAGATATAGATACATGACAAAGAACTTAAGGTAGCCGAAATTAGTGTGCAACCATCGGCACCACTATGCTTCATAATCTTTATTTGGTTAAGTAAAAAAATGCAGCATATTTACGGAGTGAATGATAATAAGTGGGGTGGAGCGCTGGAGGGTTTCATCGCTAAACCGTGAACCACCTGCAAATATCGCCCACTACATCAAACACAGTATATATCGATGCAAGAAATTTTATTCTTCTTCGGTGATAGCTATACGTCGCTTCCACCTTCCCTTCATTATAACGGATTTATGGTCAGTGAAGTGATGGATCAGTGAAGTGATGGATCAGTGATGGGGCGTAGTGGAATGTTTGCAAGGATGAAGTAGTGGGCAGTTTGCAAAGGGGGAACTATAGGCGTTCACGTACATACGTACAATAGATGGACAGACCCACGCCTTTAGGAGCTTCGCCTCTATAAGAATATACTGTTAGCGGTGTTCTGTACATTACAACTGCACTTAGTGTGCCCGTTTAGCAGGCACACTAAAGCTGGACCACAATCGTGCAATATTTGCCGTACAAATCAACTTTGTAACCGTGTGCTGATAATTCATGGTATAAAATGATTACCAAGACTACAGTGAGTGTCAGCGGGCTAACACAAAGGCGTGAAACACGCAGCCCGCGGGAACTGGCGCATGCCATCCGCGAAACTTTCGCTAGCGGCCGCTAGCGAAAAGTTCGCGGATGGCATGCCCGTGTTGCGTTCGTGCCACATTGCCATTTCTTTTTTTTTATATAGCTACACAGACATTATTGGTTCATAGAAATAATTTTGTGAGGCACCCTATGCAACCACCAAGTATGGGAATATAACCGTTAACACCTTATACATCTCAATCGGCGTTCGGTTTTCAGTAACGGAGATCGGTATCAATGTTGCTGGAATGCTCACTCCAAAATATTTAGGAATGGCTGCTATGAGATGTGGGAACGGGACTTCTTTTAAATGGCGACGTTCACTTAATCTTGAACAAGCCTACCTCTCCCCCCCCCCCTTCTCTATTCCACTACAACCGCCATTACTGCCCCGGCCCTTGCGGGAATGCGTATAGTGACTGTGTACTGCTGATGGAGGTGTGTTTGAGACACCTCATCTGATCTTGAAGAACTCCTATGGCCCAGAAAAAGTTAGCCTTGGTGACTTGCCTCTCTGGTGCTCCGCCTCGTCGTACTTGGCCCGCATCAGTACTTCCCACGTCATGCGGCTGCGCATAGCTTGCGAAAAGAAGGTGTCCTTGTTCGATATAAGGTACCTGCAAAGAACGCACCGATAAGAAAGGCACTTCACAGCAACGTCTGCGCTTTCCTTGCCCCGCCGTGATGGTCTAGTGCTAAGGTACTTGGCTGCTGACCCGCAGGTCGCGGGATTGAATCCCGGCTGGATTTTCGGTGGAGGCAAAAATGCTGTAGGCCCACGTGCTCACATTTGGTGTCCCGTTAAAGAACCCCAGATGGTCAAAATCTCCGAAGCCCTCCTTTACGGCGCCTCTCATGAGCATATGGTGGTTTTGGGACGTTAAACACCACATATCAAATGCGCTTTCGTTAGACTTCCGAGTGCATCTCACAATAGCTACAAACGGTGAAGGCTAAGACAACATTAACCGAACGCAAGAACAAGCGCGTAATTTGTAGTTTCTCAAAGCTATGCACACGTGGCACATGACCTTGTAAGAGTATATACAGGTGGCATAAGCGAATAAAAAAATTAAAGGGTCCTTTATCCGTTCACCTAATACATCTTGAAGGTTAAAGCAATCTTTTTTTTTGTCGATGTATTCATCCTGTCCCTCCCCCTACGGAAAGCTTGCCACACCTAACAAGGTCTTACACCGCCCCCCACGTCTGACAAAGAGCCGATACCATATGAGAGCGTTGTATCGTGTGGCGTGACGTTATGTGACATGATGGTGTCACGGATTTTGGCGATCTACGACGTCATCATGATAACATCATCGTATGACGTCACCACTGAAACAGCACAAAAGACGAATCACAAAGACAAGCTTCACAACACGAGTGCTGTGTCTGTCTTACATAGTTTTCTTTTTGTTCTGCTGTTGCTACGTTCACAGGTAATGTCAGCAACCGCATGTAAATGCCGGCACATATGCCGGTATATGTCGGTAATGCCGGCACCGCAGAAATATCTGCGCGAGCAAGAATGATAACCGCGAATGCTCACATGCGCTCCCGCTGCCTCACGAATTCGGCGTTGTAGAACTCGTTCTCGTCGGGGATGAGCTTCTTGTCGTAGGGGAAGGGAGACTGAAGCCTGGACAGCTTCTTCCTGCCCGGAGCCTTGCCCACCACCTCGATCTCGACTGAGTCACTCTCGAACTGCGATCAAGAATAGAGCGTGTTATGTCAAAAGTAAGCACGCCAGATCAAGGCAGTGTTCGGGTATTGGATATTTTTTTAATGTGCGGAAGAAATATATGTGGGAGTCGGAATCAAGTTTGCATAGGTGTCAGATTGGGTGAGCTAGTGTGGCAGCCGCACGCACTATTGCCACAACGCTGAAGCAGCTTTTTGGGCGTTGCGGCAACGTTGTACCAACAGTTGGCACTACTATAGGGGTAACATGCGTAGGCTATTATTAAATAGCACGCGCTGAAACTAGTCACGGCGTCGACCCAAGGGTCAGATATCCACTAATGTTGCACAAAGTCTTCCAGTCTACTCCTCCAGCGTGCGACATAGACATTTAGATTTGCTGAAAAATAATTTATACAAAGAAACTTCGAACAAGGCGAAGAAAACTACTGAACAAACCATTATAACGACTGGACTATTATTTTAAAAAACAAATATATATAAAAAAGAAGACCACATGCTCATTGCGTGTAGTTCTGTTTCTCGAATATATTTTCGCTTTTTACTTCATCTTGTACCTCGTTTTTTGTTACAATATTTTTACCATGTTTTATCAACTCGCCCAACAGTTTGTCAGGATAGATGAACAACGATTCTAGGACTTTTGGTTCATCCGTCGCGACAAATCGGCTCACAACAACAACCGCGGCCCCCTATTGGTCGTTTAAAGGGACATACGACTAGCAGGGGACCGAGTGACCAACGCTCATTTGTATCAGTCTACACTGAAGATGCTACAAGCATCACTGGCGAAACGTCTGTGACTTTGTTGCATTTTTGTTGAGTGAAGTCGAAGTAAACCTTTAGGACCATGAACTCGCCCCACTTTTGGAACATTTTCGCGCCAAATAAATTAAGACAGGAAAAGTAAAGGAATCACGAGGCAGAACCAGCATTGGCGGTAAATAGATCGCGTACAGTATGGTCCACTGTTAAAGGGAACACTCGAATGCACACCATTAGTATTCCTGGCCCTCTAAGAGCAAGTGGATTAAGAAACATTCTTCATGCAAGTCCATAGTCTGTCAAGAGGAGTTGAAACTTTCAAACACCAGTAGCCTTATGCATATCTAAGCCGCTACGATTCCCTAAGATAGCGAAATCTAAACATGCTGCTCACGCAGGTGTTCCCTTTACCAGTGGACCCGTCTGTACATTGTCAAGTTTTACGTTTGTGTTATTGTCCCTATCTGCAACTGCGCATGCGCAAAAGCGACAAGAGCACTACAGAGTGATGTCATCCAAAGACTCACGGCTTTCATGTCCGGAAAGACGGGCTTCTCGCCAGGCTTGATCTTAATCTTGGGGAATGCCATGGCCGCACCTTTTTTCTGCGTTGCAAAGTGTAAGATACATAACGCGCGCTTTAAGGATTGTCTTATGGCTCGGCAGCCCGAGTCACAACAAAGTATTTTTATTTCAATAAATTGCAGTTAGTTTTTTTTTTATTCATACGTCAACAAACCTTGACAGGCATTCGGAGGTGCAACTGCTCGGCGTACTTTGTGAGCACGACCCACGGTGCATGCACCTTCACGAAGTAGGTGTAGCCGTCAAACGAGGTCTGAAACAAAGGAGTAATGATAAATATTTTACGCTTGAAGTTTTACGCTCAAAATTTGTATGCTTAATAAGTTTTACACTTAAAAACATTATGAGGGACGTTGCTGTGGAGGGCTCCGCATTCACGCAGGTTGACAGGCGTGTCTCTGATATATACATATCTCGCTTAACTTGACACGTCTGTCGCCCTGCCTAAATCTGAAGCGCAATGTTTTTGGTGGTCTGCTTTCATGATGTGTTAACCGTGAAATGGTTCGCCCATGTCCTGCACAACTATAACTGCGCACATGTTTGCATACATATAAAACGGAGCTTTTTTTTCGAATAACTTCAGTTTCAAATTGACTCCTGTCCCCCTTTCTTTTTTTTCGTCTATGTAGATTGCGTCCTTAACACCTTTTCAGTATGGACCAACTAGCCCAACACGTTCTAGTTTGTACAGGGGATTTTCGTATGAGCTGGTAACTGTACACAGGGACATTTTTTTAATGCTTCAAAAGTTTTGGTTTTGGTCAGCGTTCATTCGTTTCGTTTTTTCATCAAGATGTACACTCGTTCTTTATGAAAGGGAACACGCGAACGCGTCGCCTGCGCTACGCGGCGGCTGCCTACAGCACCATCAACCGACAAGTGAAGAAAGCACGTCCGCTTTTCGCGTCATCTATGGCCAAGCAAGATAACGAGTTATGGGCGGTAGACAAGCGTGCTAGATTAGTTCCCCTGATCTCTCGCGCCGCGAGCGATATCGGGCGATTACTGCAGCTTGCGCCGTGGTCGCGAACAACATTTGATATGTTGGCAGTGGACTACGCACTGCAGGCGTGAGCAGAATGAAAGTGCAGTGTAGCAGCGCCTGTCTACCGGCCATAACTCGTTATTTTTTTTTTTCGGCAACAGATGACGCTGAAAGCGAACGTGTTTCCTTTTGCTGTCGATTGATGGTGCTGCAGGCAGCCGCCGCAGCGCACAGGCCACGCGTTCGCGTGTTCCCGTTCATAAAGGACGACAGTGTACATTAAGCCCTCGGGCTCCTCAACTGACCTCCGCGGTCTCAATCTCGAGTTCGAGTCCCTCGGCAATGAGGTTCTCCTGGAAGATGCGCCGGTACCGCTCGTGAATAGGGTTGGTGGAGAGCTCGTAGGCGAGCACTATGTCGATGCGCCGCCGGCCGTCGTGGAAGAACAGGGTACGCTGGTCCTCCGTCAGCTTGGGAGGGGTGCCTTGATCCGTTTCTCCCTCGGTTTTGTTGCGGTCCTGTATGACGTAGGATGAGCAGCGGTTAAAGGGGCTTCGTACCACACGCAAGGTTGGTATTTCGATAATGCCTGATGTTTTACTTCCTAAAACCATGATATGAGTAAGGCACGCCGCAGTAGAGGGCTCCAGAAAATTAGACCGCTTGAATTCCATTTGAGGGGTACTAAATAGAAACAGGGTGCCACTTTAAGCGGATAAACTATACTCTAAGCAATCTACTTCTCTTAGTTTCCCGCCATAGGTTTATTAAAGTAGAAATATCAAGGTCAGAATTTTATATTCAAATGATTTTTCTTTGGTATTATAGGCACCCAGCAAATTCATCAAACGCGGTTATGTTGTTAAGTGCCCGGCACTTTCAGAGAACAATGCCAATTTCACTGACTGGGGACTGTGTAGGTACAAGGAGACGTGGTCAAAAACCTGTGACGTCATGACAACTGATTCGCAAACTCCTTGGTGGCACCATCCACTCATATTTTTTCTTCGTTTTCTAGTTTACCAAGCATTTCCTCGCGGCACACTATTTTGGTGTTATGAAGGAGCAATTTGATCACAGGCGAGAAATCGTTTTTTTTTATTCTGTGGTTCTTTACTTGCCTCTAAGTATAAGAGCACGGGCCTCAAGATTTGGGGGCGTCTCAGCACTTAGTCTTATCTTCCGTTGTGGTCACAGTGTATAACCGTTGTCTTACCCTAAATATATCTGAAACACACGAAAAAGATTTACAATAGACTTCAGCAAAAACATGGGCTAGTTATAAGGTCATATATTGCTGTTCCTGGTGAAAACAGCCTGTCGAGAAGAGTGTTAATGAGCTGATCTCGACTAAAATGGGCCGGAGATACTGAGGCTTTTCAAGGTAACCCGTAACTCAAAGGCACATGTAGTTACGATCGAATACGTGACCTAAAGATATGCACTGTTCCTACGCGGCAGAAGTAACGTTCCTAGTTTGCGCAGCCCAATATCGGCAACTGCAAACCAGACAATGATGGTAGATCATGCGACATGGGCAGCGTTCACAATTATTCAGTCTTTCCGATTGGTTAGCCACCTTCGATAACGATATGACGAGCATTCAAATTGCTTGAACACATTCTTTTACGATATACTAAAGCACATTTTCGCTTGCTGGCGAACGCAGGTTAAGTTCGCAAAAAAAGGTAGCTCACCGGTGAAGGCATTTTGACTGAGCACTGCGCTGTTGATTTCGTCTGATTAGCGCCTGGGTGTTTCCGCAATTATACGCGTGACGAACTAGTTAAAACTAATTAAGTGTTTGATGCAGCTCAGCCGGCAAGAACGTAGTGTTGAGCACCTTGTCTTTGCACTGCGTTCTTATCCCCAAGGCATCAATGGGACGGGGTTGGAAAGAACGGAATGTGTTGGAGAAAAGGGGGGGGGGGGGGGGGGGGGGGGGGGAAATACGGTGAAAATTGCCCCCACCCCCTAAACGTTAACCGCGGTGACGTCTATGCTGTTAAGCATTGCTAACTTTGATCAGCCAGACCACTAGCTATCATCAAAAAGAAATATCTCTGTTGTCTTACACTATAAATTTGGTCTTTCTATCCAAGAAATAAAACACTGCTTATAGCACCGCTCATTCGTAGTCGCATTCAGTCGACTATAGCTTCAAAATAAAACCATCACTCTGCCACACAAACCTTTTCTACACGTTAATTCTCAAGACAGCATCAATGAAACCACCTCACCACTTCGGTCGCTGTAACACTACAGCACAAAATGGCACAGTTCCTTACAAGTGTGTAGCGGGTACCACGCCTACACAAAATGAAGAATGGCACAGTGGATGCCTACGTACTACGCAAAAATATTTGATGTAGTGGATATAATGCAAGTGCGCCTGCAGCAGTTACACAGAAAACGTATGAAAAAGAAAGGCCGATCTTTCGAACGGCTATCGCTGTGACAGTGCGGGGCGTCCTGCGCAGGTCTCGCTTTTTTTTTTTTGACGAGGACATAACTTTCGTACCTCAGTATGAAACGCATCGCCAGCAGATGCTGCGGTCACTTCTCTGACGCTTGTCTCCTTTGCGAACCTGGTCCCCTGTCCTCTCCAGTTCTGTAACGTGGGTGCGAACGAAAAGACCGGGAACGTGCATCAGTTTCTAGGAAGGTCGCAGTCAACCCGGAAATAATGCGAAGCAGTGACAGCGACATTAGAGTGATGGGGAAAGTACACTAAATCTACAGTTGTGCTCAACATGGCATGCGACACCGGAGCGCAGTTCACAAGTTGCGCGTGGCGACCACGAGCCCTCATTTTCATTACTAAACGTTTTTCTCTCACTTGGCTATGATACCAAATAAGAAAATATGTAGTTGTTGAAACGAAAACAACTTGATGCCATGCGCAACTTCTGAACTCGTGAGGCCATGCGTTCCCATGTCGCAAGTCATATTGAGCACACCTGTTCTTAAACAACATTAGGTTGGAATGTCATTCCCCGCGTCGCCATGCCGTTGCTCACATTAGTCATCGTAGATTCAATGCAAATGTTTTCTCTGTCATTTCAAATTACGTATTCGTTCTTGTTCGAAAGCATCATTCAACACTTGTAATTGCTCTTCATTGTCACCCCTTATTGTATTAAGCGTACCTCCGTGTTTGTTATGTGCTGATGTTCCTATGCACCAATGTAGAGTTTCTTAGTTACTAGTCGTCTATCCGCCAAGGCTCGTTAAGGTGATACCACATACGGACAGAAAAGGCACGGAATGCTCACGCACTTTTCAACTCCTGCCGTTGATCATGAAGTGGTGATACATACCAACTTACTGGCATTGCTTACAGACGCTATTCCATTCAGTCGCATTTCCGCCTATTAATGTGAGATCTTTTACGACTGGCAACCAAAAAAAAAAAATATCGCAGCATATCCACAGAGTGAATGATGAGTGGGCGAAGGGTCCTTTCGTCGAGCCGTCCATGTGTCCATCCATCCGTGCATGCGTCTATGCGTCCGATGGCGTTAAAGAATGCAGACGGCGCATGGGTAACACCGACGAGACGCGAGCCGAGGAAGCCGAGCGCAAAGGTCTTCAATGCGCCCGCCGCCCATGCCCCGCTAACGATCCGCCACGCATGGTGACTATCCAGGAGACTGAAAGAGGCACTCGTTCTCCGCGCACTCGGGCAAAGCGCACGCAGCAGCCAATCGGAGAGTAGCAGCAGAGTAACGCCATCTAGGAAATGAGACGAGAAATTGTCATCGATTTCTTCTACCTTAATTTTTTTTCTTTTTCGTCTCTTCTCTCGGCTACGCGTGACCAATGACAAGGTTAGACCAAGAGAAGCTTCGCCCCTAAAAAGGTAGCGGCTTAGCTTTGCTGGGCCCGGCTATGCAAATCGTAGCTTCAAAGCGAAACGGCAGGCACCTAAACAACGAACAGCTGCTTGCGCGCTCCTTTGCAAGCAGATGCGCGCACCTCGTCTGTTGTAAGCTCGGCTGCTGAGGAAAGCCATTCGAAGTGGAGAGACGAGCCGACGAAAGCGTTTGCGGCAGTTTCGGGCACATATCGGCAACGCCACAACTAAATTTCGCACGGCTTGTCGTTGGGTATGCCAGGTCCGTAGCCAGGGGGTGCCCAGCTTTATCTCCTCGAAATTTTGATAGGGGGGGGGGGGGTCACCGAAGTTAAGCAATAAAAGACGGGCGTCATAACCTGTCAGGTACTTGCTCTTCAGGAAGTCCCCCCCATCTCCCCCCTCGAAAACAATTACTGGCTACTGACTCGGAATATGTGTTCTTCGCTTCAAGACTACGCGCAGATACACAGCAAAACTCGCTCGACTAGGCCAATAATGCTTTCGCTTTAAAAGCGACTCGAGGAGACTGGTGTTCACACCTGCGATTGATCTATGCCCGTCGCGACATAAAATTCACTACTTTGCACAGTGCCACGGCCCAGTGAAATAAGTTAACGTCCTGTTCAAGCGCATCTGATTGGTTCAGAGGTGTACGACGGCACGCGCGCGACCAAAAGAATCAAGCACCGAGCGACCGAGTCAAAGCAGTAGCTTTGCGACCAAAGTGGCCACTTGTGACCCCTCGCGAAGCAGTCACTTCTCGGCTAACTCTGTCGCACGACTGGTTCTATAGTCGCAAGTGTGAACAATCCTTCATGCAATACACCTAGAAGAGGGGGCGTTTGATCAATCAATTGCATTGCAAACCTGCGAAGGTTCGAAGTGTTCTTTGTCACCTAAATGGGAGCTAAGCAAGACGAGCGTGGTGTCACGGGAGCATAGAGAAACACGAACGCCTAATTGACACACTCCTGTTTTCTTGTCAGCCGGTGGAAGGGCTAAATAGCGAGTGTTGTGTCCTTTTTATCCTACTTGCCCCGCCGCGGTGGTCTAGTGGCTAATGTACTCGGCTGCCAACCCGCAGGTCGTGGGATCAAATTCCGGCAGCGGCGGCTGCATTTCCGATGGCGGCGGAAAGGCTCTAGGTCCGTGTGCTCAGATTTGCGTGCACATTAAAGAACCTCAGGTGGTCGAAATTTCCGGAGCCCTCCACTACGGCGTCTCTCATAATCATATGGTGGTTTTGGGACGTTAAACTCCACAAATCATCATCAGAGATTCCTTGTCAGAAGTGACGCAAAAGTGTCCGAAGTTCGCTAACAAACGCTTCGCATTTAATAAGTTTGTGCGCGTGTGTGTGCGGGTGTGTCCCCATGTGATTGCATACGACAAATGAAATGGGTCTGCGTGATGTGTGCCACCTCGCGATTTCAAAAGAAAGCTAGGAATATCCAATAAAATCGCTCTGCTTTCGACTTCCTTCAAGTTATGACTTGTGAGAACGAAGGAGGTTTTAAATAATGCTGGAGCAGAAATTGAAGTGAAATTGAATGAAGTGAAGTTTCCACTCCAACAATTTTTTTTAAATATCCTTGGTGAGAAATATGACGCAGCTCAAATTAAGCGCGTAACAAACCCTGGCTATGTCTTCCTTTGAGTCAGTAGCCCGCTCCGAGATTTTTTTAGCAGTCTACCTGACCACCGTCTTCTTTGGACAGCAAAGTAGCCTGCATTGACAGCGCTACATTTTATTTGCCTCCGATGCCGTCTGCTGGATTTTGCTAAAATTGAAATTACTTCAACTAGCAGTTCCAGTTCACTGTAATTGGAATGGTGTTGATGAGATACTCACCGTAGACTACTGAATAGTTCACTGCAATTGTAATGGCACTGGAGCTGGCCATTGCCTGCTAAGCTGTCTGTATAGCCATCTAGGGTGAGTTTTGGAGCACACCCGAAGACAATGAAATGTATCTGTGCATCTAATCGAGATTTTGTGTCACCATCTGAACTAGACGACTTGCCTGCCCGTCTACCTTCACAGCGTAGAATGACCGACAATCTTCTTTTCTGTCAGGGCTTACTCACCAGAGCTGGTGATTTCTCCCGTTCTTTCGACTTCATAGCCGGCTTCGCAGGTAGCTTCGCAGGCGGAATTGCAGGCGGCTTCTTCTCGGGTGGCTTCTTGGGCGGCGACGGCTTCTTCTGCGCTTCCTGCGAGCATCAGAGTCGAATAAAAAGCCACGAGGAGCTATTCAGGGTTAACTAGTAACAAATTAGTGGCGATCTTGCCTGAGCACAATTAGGTATAGGGGACGGGAGCAACACAATTTAGCAATTGTCATTTATTGATTTGCGTAATTAAATTTATGTAACTTCGTGGAATAGCGAGGGTCCTTGCATTGTGTGTACTGCCCGATGTGTGCATGATTTCAAGCTATTTGTTGTCGCACAAACATACCAAGCTTGATATTTCTGCAAACATACCGAGCTTGCAAAGCAGGAAATGACAACCATGTCGCCATTCTCATTACCTTTTCTCATCGACCCTTCCCCAGTCTGACAAAGACAACTCCCCTCCCCTTAAATTTCCTCATAAAAAAATAGGCACCTGAATCCGCCCCGGAAATAAAAGCACATGGGCATACTATTTCAAAACAATTCTGCGGAATTCAGCAAGGTGGCGGAAGGGTTACGAAAGATAAAAAACACAAAATAAACCATATTGTTTGTCTAAACCTACACGGTTGTGCAAGTCGCGGGATCAAATCCCGGCTGCGGCGGCTGCGATTTTGATGGAGATGAAAACACTTTGGGCCCATGTACTCAGATTTGGGTGCACGTTAAAAAATCCAGGTGGTCAAAATTTACACTGTCTTCCACTACAGCGTCTCTCATAATCATATGGTGGGTTTGGGTCGTTAAAACCCACTTGTCAATAAATCTACATGGTTGCGCCCTTTCTTAACCTTTCCACCTTCTAAAGGGATCCTGACCAACTGATCTGCGATAGTGTTTGGAACTACTTGCTAGACTAATATGCAACAGCTTCGAGTACAATGCACATAACTATAGATGAGCGGTATGCAGCTGCTTCTACATGTCGTCATCTTCGGTACTGGAGTACCAAAAATTCACCGATCCGGAGTTCTATGATGAGTTTAGAAAAAAGGGGTGAACGATTTGGGGTACTTGGTACTCTACCATGGGAGAGCTGAAAGCAGTCTCTTGGGCCTCACAATTTGGGTTCAATGTGTTTAGGAAAAAAATGCTGAACGATTCAGAGTACTTCGTACTCAACTATCTATGGGAGAACACTGAGCCGTTCCGCTAAAAGCCTACTTGTGACGCGTACTCGCAGCTCCTAAGTTACGATTGAAGTTCCACGACTGCCCTTCTCGTAATCCGTACTCGATCGGTTAAAACGCTACATGATGCACCAGTTCAAATGTTCCGACGTTAGAGTTTTCACCGAACTGTCATGCTACCTTGTAGTCACATATGGTGAAATACAAAGCACTTCACCTGACGCTTCACGTTTTTTTTTGGGGTGGAAATCGCAACAAGACTACGATATTTTATGCTACAGTTAAAATTTATTCTTTAAACATCGTAGACTTCAGATATGGGTGGAAATTAGTAAGAGCCAGCAAGGCGCAAGATGTGGACCGGACCGAAGGGGTTTAAAAGATCCGGCAGTGGCTTAGCTTGGCTATTCCAAGCAAATGCAGCGCCACTTTAAACTCAACGTTTGACGCATGACACTAATTACCGGCGTCAAGTCTTTCATGTGCCACAGACACGCGCCGCACACGTATCCAAACGGATTCTTTACGAAGTCCGTCTCAAAGGTACGAGTCACACTGACACTTTCACCAAGTTTTGCCACTGGCACTTTCACCAAGTCTATCGGCTCCCTGGCAACGCCACTTTGCTAGACATTTCTCCGTTTGCTCCGGTGTCTCCGCAGCACGTTTAGCCTCCTCCTGTTCGTTTTTCTACGCTGAAACGCCAATTGCCAGGCAACTCTTTCCGGATCCGATGAGTTCAGTTCTTCGCATTTCTTTGCCGCTGAGTAGCCATTTCGCTTTCCTTCTCTATAGCTATATACCTCACTAGCAAACTCCCCGTGGTATAGCGCCGCGGCAGAAGTGACTAGAGGCCTCGATGCCCGCTCATCCCTAGACGCAACTAAACTCGCTCGCTGGATTCCGTGTCGGCTGGTTGGGCCCTCGCGATCTCCGACGCCAGCGTAGCTCTGGCCGGCTGGTCTAGCTCTACGTCATCTCCTGACGCCGACCTCCGACGACAGCTTACCTCTGACCTACTGGACTCGCCCTACGCCTTCTCCTGACGCCGACAAGAGCTCTCGCAAGTGGTGCCCCGTCCTCGGACTCCTGTGACCGTGTTTCTATCTTTACTATCCCTCCTATCTCCTCGATATGTCCTCGCTCGCTGGCTTAGCGCATCTTTCTCTCTATATATACCTTTAATCATATTCTTTTAATCCCTCCTCACCCCCATCCCTTGTGAGCTACTGTTTAGGTGTCGAACAGTGGTGCAGACAGTTACGCGGCTCACTTTTTTCTTCCTTTCTCTCTTAGAACCTCTTCAGAGCAGCATAACTCGAGGTGGATGAGCCACGTGGTACGATCAGGATTCGTCCTTGTACATGAAGAATGTCGATACAAAATGGAGGAAGCGAACCAGAAAATTGACTGGTAAATAATGAAGGCAAAACGAAAACCGGAATAAATGATATTGTTTAATTAACATTGTTTAATGACATTTTACTCCCGAGTTTCATTTGAGGTGTGGGGCGAGGTATCTTAAATAGCAAGAGTCTCACCCTCTCTTCATCACTCACGAAGAAACTCGCTAGAAGACACTGCCTGCATCAGCGTTCCGATGCAAGAAAGGGGGAACGTAGGAGAAGAGATAGAGAGAGGGGTAGGGGACGTGCATGAGCAATGTTGGTGTAAACGCCGCGAGGAGGAATGCCTAGAGGAGAGAGTGGCACGAGCGTAGGTTAGCAGACGCTCCATGCGTCGGCATTGAGAGGCGAGATGGGGAGCGTAGGAGAGGAAAGAAGTTGCGCAAGCGTAGTACGTTGCGGACACCGACGCCGCGGGACGTAGACCAGAGCAAGAGAAGCTTAGCATCTAAAATCCGGGAGAGGAAGCTTTGTCAAAGCCATATTGGCAACATTGAAGTCGGTGATTGCCCATCCTTCATGTTGGAAACGTACGTTTTCTGGGCAGTGCTTACCCAGAGATCAGGGTGTATTGCTCTCTTGATGTAAAGGCTAGGTTGATTCTCAAACTGGAGAACGCTATTCCTAATGCGAGTAACCTATCAAGATCAAACTGATGGCTCGTTTTCATACCGTTTGTGAAGACTTTCAGGTTTACCAATGAAAACCAGTGTCAAAAAGGACTATTCAGCACTCTAATGGCAGTATTGAACCCGCATTGCGTTGGAGGAAAACATTGGGTTTCCATTTTTCAACGTTTACAATGGGACCGCTTCATGCCCTCCCAGAGTCGAGTACATTGTACTCCAAATCGTTAGACATTAGTTCTAAACACATATTATTGGTCGCCCATAGTAGAGTACATCGCACTTTTAAGCATTGAACATTTGTTTTAAACACACATTGAAATTTCCTCTACTGCTATTTTAGAAGTGACTAGCACGGAAAAAGTTCTTGCTTTGCTTCACAACTAATATTCGGCTCTGTTGAAACTTGGTGACTTTTTACTTTGCGTGCCCTTTTTTTGTTTGTTTCCTTCAGTAATCTGTGATCTGTGATAGAACCGCAGTGCTGCAATTTATATCGTCGCTATGCTCTATTGTTTGTACGTGCCACTGAAGTAACTTTGTTACCCGCTGCAGTTGCACTCTCCTGAACTGTTGTTACTGCTATGCAATAAAGATCCCCGTCTCCTGCTGCTACTAAGGTGGCGGCCGCGGCCGTCATCTTAGATTGGACACAGCTTCACTCGTGAGGCATAATTTTCATTCCAATTCTTTTTAAATCTGCTTGGTGTGTACTCTGAAAAGCGATTAATTCATTCGGATCTGCCTGCATAAGATTTGCAGATATAGGCTTCCTTCTAATGCAATTAACTTAGTAACTATATATCATTTATCAAGTAACTAAATCTTAAGTATGAATAAATGATTTGCAATTATTTATTAGGCTTTTGGTAGTTAAGTCCAGTCACATACCTTGGTTTCAGGCTTGCCTGCGTCAGGCTTCGACGCCTTATAGGTCTCTTCTACGGACTTTGTCGCCTTCATTGGCGGCTTTACCAGCTTGTCCATTTGTCCGGTTTCCCTTTGCTCGCCTGGTCTTTCACTCGCCCGTCCTTGTCGAATAACGCCATGCGTATAAGTCTTCCTCCCTGAGGTTTGTCCTTGTCTCGGTCATCCTTGCCTTTGTCTTCAATCTTTCGAGGCTTGTTTTCCTCCTTTTCCTGTCCTTTCTCCGGTTTCTTGGTCGTCGCTGGAGTCTTATCTGGCTTTTTGGGAACGGTAGCTACTTCCTGCAAAGCGAACGATGAACAGTATTTTAATTGTGGTAATTTCTTTTAGAAAATGGAAGCGTATATAAAAGTTCATCCTTCAAAAACAATATATTGCTTTTGGGTGAGACTGATTTCAGAAACCTCTTACAACAAATATAGGGACGTCCCACTTCTAACTTCGAAACCAGCGACACAAACCTGTCTTTGCAAGAATAGGTTCGTCCACAACTCTACTGGGCACCTGGTCTTTTGGTCATGAAGTTCTCAATAGGGCCTATCAAGCGTGAGACCCACGGGACCACAGAGTTTCCTAATATACGCTAGAGGGAACTCTGGCGCTAGTGTTTATGGGAGCTGCAACGCACGGCACTTCAGCGAGCATGGGAATGATGGGTAGTACACACATTTGTCTAAACTTCGTACTTCCCGGCTGCTTTTGGCTCCGTGTGTGTTCGTGTGGCCTGAAGCTGTTTTCTCGCGAAACAAAATTCAGCAAATGTTCAGCGATTGCGCTTCGCCACCCTATTTTTTTCGACTTACCTTTCCAAATTGAGTCACAAAGTTCAAAAGGGTTGAATCTTTTCTTTTCAAAAGAAAACCGAAACACAGCAGTAAACGAAGCCGCAAGTACTATTGGTCGCCCGCAAGTACGAAGACTAGGCAGATGTGTGTACTACCCCTCATTCCCATGGTTGCTGAACGATCGCAGCGCCAGAGTACTCCTCTAGCTAATTTTAGGAAACTCTATGCACGGGACGGCTTTGTGCTCTCTCATAGTAGAAGTACTGAGTACTCAAAATAGTTAACCACTTTTTTTTTCTTAACAAGCTCAGTGGGCCGAGCGAATGAGTGGAGACGCCAGGAGCGCATGCGCGGCACGCGGCGAGAACCAGCGTTTTCACGGAATGAGCCACGCACCAGCTCACAATCGGCGCAGCAAATAAGAGAGGTGAACTGCGCATGTGCAGTCCACTGCGAAATTCGGCGTGTTCGCGTAGCGAGCCGCCGACCCGCTCATTTCGTCTCTTCAGCGAAGCGTGCGAGCGTATCAGAACGGCAGTTCCCCATCACAAGTGGCGGCGATGTTTTGCCAACGACACCCCGAAGTGCTGGCACATCTTCGACTACAGGTAAAAACTGCTTTCGTGCTAACTCCGTCAACGTATACGTCGACGCGGATGGGGAAGCGAGTTCATTTGTCGGTTTTTATTAAAACACCAGGCGCGCGTCCAATGCGCATAGTGCACGCCAGTCGGTACAAATACTAGTGCGTATGGACGTATAAGGAGCAGCTGGAGGGTGTAATCAACGCACCTTCAGAAACATTTCACGCTTGACCAGTTCACGCATAAGCCGAAATGCGCTGCTTCGAGACACCTCACCAGTAGAACTCTCACTTTTCAGGAAGTTCCGAGCACCGCCCCGGAATCACCTGGCATCACAATTGTCCAAATGGGCACATTAAAAAAAACCATCTTTGCAGGGCTGCCAGTCAAGCGTTCGTACCAGTCTGGCCGTAGTTTTTTCTTGCTGTGCACAAGCCAGCTGTAATCACTCGTCACAACGTCAGACCATGTGGTAACTGACAGGATGCCAGCAAGAAGCGCGTTCAGAGTGTCACAGCACGAACAAAACGCATTTCGAAGAACTGGACGAACTACAATGAACGACGCGAGACGCCATGGCTACAGTGTACTAGTGGTGTAAAATATAGATCTTCGCAACGTTACCAGTTGAGTAACACACATCCCGCTTGCTCTTGCGTTGTTCCGTTTATGTTCACAAATGCAACCGTTTATTCTACGACTCATTTCGTGCTATTTTGTTTCATTTACATCTATTGACCATAGCGATTTAACCCAAACATTCGCTTTTTGATGAGTTTTGAACCTTCTAGGGGGCACTCCAGGAATACAGGCGAGAAGGAAAGAGAAAGGTGTCGCTAACTTGGAAACTTGTTTCTTCTAGGGACCTTAGGTTTAGCAACGGTGCTGTTGAAATCCCAGATATTCGATCACTTAGCTTGGCTTCACTCTCACCCTTTGGGTGGTGACCCCCTCTCCCCCCTTTATTTCTGGGATGTCGAACAGTCCCGTCATGCATTCCCGCAGGAGGCGCAGTCATGCGATCCACTGAAGCGAGCTCGGCATCGTTTAGCTATCACTCTCTTATCGGGTCACGCTCCGCTGCCCTCTCCGCTCGCCTGCTCGCTCGTAAACCCACCCAACTAGAACTTCTAATATCTGACTGGTTCAGGCCTGAAGCTTAACCGGGACAGCATGTGCTTCTTCCTTAAGAGCGCTTGTAGTGTTCTGAAGCGTTCAAAATTAAGTCTAACCACAGACGAATTACATTTATCTACACATCTGCATTCTATTTGGGTGCACGTTAAAGAGCCCCAGGTGGTCGAAATTTCCGGAGCCCTCCACTACGGCGTCTCTCATAATCATATGGTGGTTTTGGGACGTTAAACCCTACAAATCAATCAAATCAATCAATCACATCTGCATTCTGCGTATCGGGACAACTCACTGCTCTCCCATAGTTGAGTACCAAGTACTCTAAATAGTTGAAAAATTTTTCTAAACACGCAATGAATCGGTTCGTGATGCAACTCACCGAATCGTATTAGTAACTTAATGCTTTAAATCATCAACCATTTTTTTTGTAAACATCGTGGAACACTTGTTCTACATACATAGTTTATTGTTCTGCCATAGTATAGTACATCATAGTCTAAATCACCGAACATTCGTTCGATGCACATTGTGACGGAAATGCGCCACTGAAGTTTAATGCAATAACCTTTTCTGGGTGAGTGGCGTCAAACACACAGTGCAATGCCTGACGTCCGCACATCCAGCATAACAGAGGGAGGGCTGTTCGCACGACTGTTCTTCAATGTGACCTTGTACTGCTGTAGCGGTGGCGCTGTTTAGCGGAAGCGCGTCACAAGCCCCATAAGGACGCCTACACAGCGCTGCAGAACATACGCCTGAATGTCTGGAATCACTTCGTTGAGCTGCTGGGAAAACACGGTGAAATGGCGTTCCTCCGACGATGGTGAGGGCCTGGGCACGCGCTATTCGCACAGCCGCACCGCACTTGGCGGGACACCTGCCGCATGCAAACTGAGGGCGAGGGAACGTCGCCGATCAACGCCGACTAAATTTCAAGGCCGAAAGGCTGCCGCAGTGACGTCAGAGGGTGGGGGTCCAGTTACGCCGCGAACGCGGCGGAAAGCCTGTGTTTTGTTCACGTTTTAGGAGAACCAACGCTGCCGCTCTCGCAGCTGCTGCGGCTTGATTGGGCCGAATAAAAGATGTGGAAAAAAAAGTCTTATTGAGCATGCTCAGTTGGGCAACTGGGTCCCCAACCTCTGACGTCACTGCGGCAGCTTTTCGGCCTTGAAATTTAGTCGGCGTTGCGCCGATTCGCTCTTTTGTCCTCCGCTTGTGTGCGGCATGTGTCCTGCCAGAGTCCCTAAGGACAGGGCATCTGGAGTTTCTAGTCGTTGCGTACTAACAAAGCTACCACTCCAATACGCATGCATGCGTGATGAACTGCAAAGCGTGAACAATTTGACCAAGTTTGTTGCTTTTTTTTTTACTTTTGTGTACATTTGGATACACAAATATAAATCGGTGTTTTATTGTTCATCTGTGGTATTTATATATATGTTTTACTTTTGCTTTTATATAATTAAATGTTTCGTGTAGAGTTAAGCTTTATTTCGTCTGCTGTTACTAGTAAACAAAAACTTCTCTGTGTGTGCGTTGATTCATGCAATTGAAGTGGGCTCGTAAGCGCACCTCTAGCCTAAAATGTTAGGTTGAATTGTCATTGATGAGACGCAGTACATATAGGCTGCGTGTGGTACCCTAAACATAGTTAGCAATTTGCCCTGAACAAAGGTTATACTCCGGTCACATGGGTACTTCAAAGCCATTTGAGCTATAACAGTTGGTACGAAAAACAGTTTCGCCCGCAGACTCATGAGAGAAAGATAAAGAGATCGATTTCTCGACGCTTCCTTGGATCTCCACTTCAAAACCGGTGTTTTCTGGTCTTTTCTAAAAGGAGAGTTTGTCAATTCTTTGTCACAGAGTTAAGAATAACCGCGAAGCCAGACGCCGTTAGTTATAAAATGGTATAAGAAAAACAAATGCCCAGGTTTTTCACGCCTGGGCCCACCATGAGGAATTATGTTGAAAAAACGCTTTAACGTCAACTTTTTGTGCACTCTCGGAAGCAGGTCGAACGGGTCGGGAGTATCAGGTGAAGGCACAATGCATCGCACGTCTTTTTGATCGCACGGACGGACGCAATCGAGCCGCCCAGAATATCCCCACGACAACGCATGGGCTGCAGGCAAACCTGTTACGCTGGTAGAGGAAGTGCAGCTACGCGCGCACGAATAGGGAGGTTCTTCATTGGAGTTTTTTTTTTTTTTAGCGTCTGCATGTCTAAACACAACTGTAGCTGAAAGTTGCGATATGGCTCATCCAATAAGGTCGTTTTTTTCGCGAACATGCTCAGCTCCCCTTAAACTATGCATGTCTGGTGAACCCACTGTTAATACCTGACCGAAATACTCAGCCTGCTCCTGTGTTGCTTTCATGGCGACCCAACAGGTGTTTCGCGCGAAAATTTACTTACGTCGACAATGACTCATTCTCTCCTTTAGTTTCTTGATATGGTCTGATACTTGTGCCGCTTTGTCAGCAATTTTGTCCGAATACATGGCCCCATGCCTCTAATAAATTAACACAAATGAGCTTTAGTCAATTTATAGGCATATAGGACGAAGAAGACCATTACCCATCTAGTTGCGTCAACGCTGTGTGCACGGATTGGTCCATTCCCGAATAGGACGCACCTTAATTTAACAATGTAGAGTGAAACGATTGATAGTAGGCAATGTCTTACCTTCCTGTCTTTTTTGGGGAGCTCGGGCTCAGGCGCACCTTCTTCGGCTTCATCAGCGGGGGCCACGGGTTTCTCTGTGTTTAGAACAAAAAAGTGGCCTGTTTACGATCTTCATAGGAAAAAATGGCAACTAGACGTTCGAGTGTTCTTATACACGAACTAGGTTATACTCCAGCGTCACACGGGTATTTTTGATCGCGATCGGGGAAATCGGGATTGTATTTCTTGATCGCTGTCAACAGTCGTCGCTACATGATCCCCACTATAATCCGGATCAAGTTTGGTGCAGACATAAAATCGAGATCCTAGAATAAATCACGATGAGCATGTCACAATAGTCTTTATCGCCATCAGGCTTGATCGCGATTAAAATTTACCGTGAAGCAGCACTTGATACGGTTCGAGCTTAATCCGAATCAGCCCTGATCCCAATCAAAAGTGCCAGTCTGACACTGGTATTAGCTTCGGCGGAATAGCTACTATAAGTTCTTGCTAAAAAGTTGCTTCAGTTAGCACAGAAGTCACACGATCCTTTATGCATTCACCTAAGATTGCTCGAAGGCGAAAACCATCTTAGGCGATTGTAGTGCTGCCCAGAAAGTTTCTGCACCAAACGGGGTTTTTCATGGCCTCCGAGATCGGTCCATCATTGATCAAGCAATGGTGTCATGTGATGTTACCCTGTGACGTCGTGAGGCATAGCGCATGGCACCGAGGAAGAAGAGCGTGATTGCGCTTCAATGAAATGGGCTTGACTGCGTTCACATCTGTTGTCGCTGCGGTGTCTCAGTCGCCACGGTTCTCGACTGTCGACCCAAAATTCCCGGGACCAATCCCGACCCCGTTGGTTGTGTTTGGAATGAAGCGTTATGCTAGCAAGGCGCATGTACAGAGGGATGTCAGTGCATGCTATAAGTTCCCTAGACGGTTCAAGTCATACAGTCACTAGCACGCTCTCTCTCTACGAGAGTCGCTTTGTCATGTTCAACCTCACAGAAAAATCTACGTTCTACTCTACAGCAGGGTAGAAAAAAAGAGACCGTTCGTGGACAACCACACTTTTGCATGGAACACCAAGGGTGTCATGATAGTGTTCAAGATTCCAGGTGTGTCCGCATCAGTTAAAACAGTCGAAGGTCGATATCAGACCATGCACTTTGATCATCGCACACTTTAGAGCTAGGTGTTCGGTACGCTTTCGATAAGCTTTCGAGGCCGGGGAATGAGACGCGATCCGAACTTATACAGGTACCCTAACTGGCTCTAGAAATATCTGAAACCATATCGCCGAGTTAGATTTACGTGAACGCCGAAGCATGTCAAAGCCAACACGTGTCCAAGATAACGTAATGATGCAAGGGGTGTCATCTTTAGGTGTAGTACCACAGCTCGCATCATGATGTCGTAAGAAGTTGCCCATTCTCCTTCAAGAACAAGGAATCGAGATTACCCACCACATAATGCAGGTGGTAGTGAGAGCGACGGTTGGACGCATGCCGGCTTCGAGCTTGAACGCCGGGACTTCGTGGAGGCTATGGCCACCGTCCGTCTCCGCAGCAGGACGTTTCCGCATTCTATGTTGGTCAAAGCCCACCGCGCTGACAGCTCTGTTTCAACTGGATACAGCCGACGTCTCAGCAGGGTTCCGGTGAGGAAAACGTGCAGGACTAGCCGCGACCACGTGCTTGCGGCAAGGCCAGTCTTGGTGTCCACCTTCTGTTTCATCGCGCCACCATCTGCGCTTTCACAAGTCACCGCGACTTGGGAGATGACCACCTTCTCTCAGGTGAGGCTTGACGATAGTTCGTTTTCGGTACCGTCAGAACATGGCCGCCGCAGTCGGAGGTTCGCGTTTCGATTCGTCGTCGTCCTCTTTTGTTGCTTTTAGGCTTCCCCCTCTTCTTGCATTCAGTTGACTGGCGATGACGACGACGAAGATGATGATACGATGATGATGAATATAGTTTTCACGAGACCAACGTCGTTGGTTGCACGAGTTCGTTGTATCTCGCATGCAGCTCTTCTTTCGGTCAGCGCCAGTTTGAATGTTTCCAAATGGTATACCGATAAACTATATAACATAGTATATAGGAGTATTTTGAGGCCAATATCATGCAGTATAGGAATCCATACTCATGTCTATTGACTTCTCAATCACTGTACCACTGAAGATCATTCCTGGGGGCAATTCCACAGTCCCTCCTTTGTGTAAAAAATCATTAAAATGGCGGACTGACAGCTTGTATGCCTTTCATGTGCACAAAATTCTTAACTACCGTGTGTGCTGCTGCACACACTTCACCTTCAGTAAACAAGAGAGTGATGCCTGAATCGTATTCCATTATGGTATTGGGAAAGCGCGAATGTACAGCATTGCTTGTGTGCAGCATTTCTTTAAAAAATGTTTACTTGAAGCACTGTAGTTTATCAATTACCAACACTGTTCAGTGTTGCTTGCTTTTTTTCTTGTAAGGCATTGCTTCAACGTCCGTGTTTTCTACTTCCGTGGGCGAAAAGTAATCATTACTCAGTTCTTAGTGGCATGAAGCTACTTTGTTATGAGTGATCCTGGAGTTCCTGGATAGCAATGCTTCATTTATTTGGATCTCATATTTGTGACATTGTATTTGGAACCGTATCTAGCACGAATAGGACTGACTCTCCAACCAGCCACTGGGTCGACATCATATGTCAACCATGAGGAACCTTGGGATCGTGTCTACATATCGACCTTTTTAGTTCATCTGCACCGACACCACTTCGAAGCTAAGACGAGCCAATCAGCCATAAGGGTTTTAAATGCGAATATATTTCTTAGTCTGACTATGTCAGACGCCCGGCGTTGTCCAAGGCGGTGTTATTTCTCCGCTCTTACTCCCTCTCACACAGCAACAACTGCGGGGGTGCGTGCTTTTCAGATCGGCTAGTTGGTTCAGGCACATTGTGGAGAAACAGCGCAAATGTTCCAGCGTCATGCCCGGTATATTTTTTTCTTTCCATCGTCTGAGCTATTTTGACGCCAGTTAGCCAAATCATTCCATCTTATGTTCAAATGTTATTGTCGGACCTGTGGATAACTCCAATCTGAGTCAGTGGCTCCGTACTCTGTCCACCTGTAATGCCTTCTAAGGCTACTAGATTAGACCGTGCTCAGCGATGATAACGTGGGTTAGTAGGTGCAGTGTTTAATAAAGTGTACCACATGGCAACGACATAAAACAGAAATCTGATTCCACCTAGATTCGATCAAAAAGCACAAAACCGACCTCTCGTAGTTGAATGACGTAGATGAGGTTGTGGTGAGCGTCGCATGCCCTCTACAAGGTCATGTCAGTGGATTTTCATGCGTGTGTGACCAATGTGCTAAACAGCATCGTTCCTGGCCGCATATATATTTGCATACAACCAACATCAATTAGGCGATGTATTCTAAATTTCGGAATGCGATCAGCCTGCATTTAACATGAACTTCCGAAAGCCTGTCACTACAGCACTGGCACCGTAAACCACGTGCGCACCCGCTAGTTCGTCTTCTGGTAAATCCAGGCTCCTTAAACAGCTACCAGCTGATTCCTCAATTGCGTTTGCAGAGGTAATGTACTAATGTCAGTTCTATATCGTAGTTAGACACAGCTGGAATCTTATCTTAAAGCACTACTCAGTGACAAAATAAAACAGTTTAACCGCAAGGGCGGTGCAACGAATGCGGCAGCAACACATTGCAATACGGTACGAAGTAAGGCTGCCAGCTAACTCTTTTGGATGCCATCTTGTGCCAAAACGCTAGCGTAAGAGAGTATGACTGCTCCAGGGAGCCAAGTGGTCTTTGGGCTGTCTGTCGGCTCAATGCGAACTCAGTGGGCCGTTTGCTAATGTCTATCGAAACAGCGCGCGTCTCTGCGATAGCGACCATGCCATCAAGATGGGCGACCATGCCATTAAGATTGTTCGCAGTTCCGCTCGAGCAATGTATCCCACGCCTCCCCTGGCCACCGTCAAGCTCCTTTACCCGACAAAAAAAATGGTGCTCTACTTCAGTTGCTTGTATCACTAACGCTCGCGCGCTTTTGCTTGGGCATAGAACGCACGATGCGCAGGGTGTGCGTTAAAGATTTCAACTTTATACGGAAAATACGGAAAATTACGGCTACAGCGACGTGAATAACACGCCTGGCTGTTCTTCCAGTTACTTATCAATATTCTTCAGATTGCAATATTCAATATTCTATTGCAATATTCTTCAGATTCTTCAGTAGGCCTTGTGGCTTGCAAAGATGCGTTTGCAGACCGTCAAAAACTTGTTTCAGACACTTAACAAAGAAGAAAGCACCGCTAGCAGTTGATTCCATGCAAGCCTATCCGGGGTATATGGGAACACCTTGTGCCCATTTGGATGAACCCTTCACCATCAGCGATGTGCGACGTGCCCTGCACGAACTTAATGGCCGATCGGCACCGGGTCCAGATAGGGTCACCAACAAAGCGCTTCGGAATTTGGAAGATGACTCTGTTGAATTTCTTACTGATGAGATTAATAGGATTTGGAAGGGAGGTGACATCCCGGAACAATGGAAGTTGGCCAAGGTGATCCTCATTCCCAAGCCCGGTAAAGCACCAAGTTTGGACAATCTGCGCCCCATCTCTCTCACGTCATGCGTGGGAAAGGTGGTGGAACACGTTGTCCAGAACCGAATCGCGGACTACATAGAGCACAATGATCTCTTCCCTCACTACCTTATTGGCTTTAGGCCAGGCCTCTGTACGCAGGATGCTATGAAAATCATTAAGTGTCAAATTTTAGATAATCATACCAGAGACACCAGGGCGATCCTAGGCTTGGATATAAAAAAAGCGTTTGATAATGTCCGCCATGATTCTATTTTAGATGCGATCTCAAGTCTCAACCTAGGTTCCTCATTTCATGCGTTTGTCAGATCCTTCCTGTGTGGTCGAAAAGCCATACTTAAAGTTGGAGATCTAGAATCGGATGTGCAAGCGCTGGGAAATAGGGGCACCCCGCAGGGATCTGTTCTATCACCCTTACTTTTTAACATCGTCATGGCTGGTCTCTCGAGGCAGCTTTCTGGAATTTCAGATGTTGGTCATACAATTTATGCCGATGATATCACCATTTGGTGTAGAGGAGGAAGTGATGGCACTGTAGAGGCGGCCCTGCAAGAGGCCATCGACACTACCGAGAGTTTTCTGGAAGACACAGGCCTTTCTTGCTCTCCGGAAAAGTCTGAGCTTCTCCTCTATAAACCGGTCAGGAGGGGCCGTCGACCGCGAGGCTGGGTGCCGCCCCTAGAAAATGACATCCACTTACGTACCAAAAGTGGACGATCAATCCCCAAAGTCGCTTCCATTCGGATCTTAGGTATGACGCTAGAAGCAACGGGCACCAACACCATCACGATTAAAAGGTTGGAAAAAAAGACAGACAGTGTTATTAGGCTCATAAGACGGGTGGCTAACCGAAGGACAGGACTATCAGAGGACAACTTGGTCAGGCTTATACATGCTTTTCTGCTGTGTCATTTTGCATATGTGGCGGCAATGCATGTCTGGAAGAGAATGGAAAGGGACAAGCTTAATGCAATGATCAGGAGAGCTGTAAAGAATGCCCTTGGGCTCCCCAACTACACCCACACCAATCGTCTCCTGCAGTTGGGAATTCATAATACATTGGAGGAAATTGCGGAAGCACAAGAAAGAACACAGGTAATTAGGCTGTCTGGCTCAAAAGCGGGGAGGATGATTCTCGCAGAAATGGGTATTCCACCAGCTCAGATTGAGGCTCTGTACCAAGGGTTGACGAGGGATCAGAAGGAAAACATCATTGTCTCGCCTGCCCCGCGGAACATGCATCCCCAACGTAATGTTGGAAGGAGGAGAGCGCGCGCTCGGGCCCTTCTTCGCCAAGTTGCGGATCTTGACGGGGGGGCCTGTTTCGTAGACGCGGCGCAATATGATGGCCAGAGAGACCGATTCACGGTAGTGGCAATCAACCACAAAGGCATTACAATTAATGCGGCGTCGGTATGCGCCAGAACTGCCAATGCAGCTGAGCAGGTTGCCATCGCCTTGGCTCTTTTAGATCAGCGTAATGAACACATATTTAGCGATTCTAGAGCTGCCATTCGTGCCTTCAGTGTTGGAGCTGTGTGCAAAGAGGCCAAAAATATACTCGGTGATAAGTTGCTTACAACCCATACCATTACATGGTTCCCAGCTCATATGGGAAACATGGACGGAGGGATCATAAATCTCAATGAGTTGGCCCACTCCAGGGCGCGAGGGTTAGCTGTCCGCGGCCATCGCCAGTCTTGAGGTCCATTGGACAAAGTACTTGGCGTTATGAAGCCGATCAAGTGCGTCGTCTATTCGTGGAGAGGATACACGTCCTTTCTTGTGATTTTGTTCAGGCGGCGATATCGACGCAGAAACGTAGGTCCCATCCTTTTTCTTCACTAACACCACGGGGGATGCCCATGGCTCTTGGACGGCTGGATAATGTCATCCCGCAGCATTTCATCAACTTGTCTCTTCATGGCCTCACGTTCTCGCGTCGAAACCTGTACGGACTCTGACGGAGTGGTCTGGCATTTTCTTCGGTTCTGATGCGATGTTTCGTGATTGGTGTCTGCCGAACTTTCGATGACGACGAAAAGCAATCTTCGTATTGCAGGAGCAGGGCCTTGAGCTGTTCTGCTTATCGTTCGGAA